TCAGGCCAGGCACGGTGGCTTACGCATATAATCCCAGCACTTTGGGAAGCCGAATCTGGAGGATCACCTAAGTGCGGGAGTTCAAGACCAGCCCGAGCAATTTGGTGAAACCCCATCTCTACCAAAAATACAAAAAATTAGCCAGGCATAGTAGCACATGCCTGTGGCCCCTGCTACTTGGGACGATCACTGAGCCTGGGAGGCAGAGGCTGCAGTGAGCCGATATCATACCACTGTATTCCAGCCTGGGTGACTATACTCCAGAGTGAGTATAGTCATGCAGCATGACAGAGTGAGACCCTGTCTCAAAAAAAAAAAAAATCCTCTTTCAGTTGGCTCCTATACTCCTTTTGACATAGTTTTGTCATTGTGTTTTTGTTTTTAGCACTTCTTTACTTTCTGGCACTACAAGGTGCTGTGGGCTCATTTTGTGTATTCCTTGATCCAGTCCTAGAAACAGCCAATTCTCCAAAGAATCTTCGTTCCTTTTATTAGAGAATAGTCTGGGCACCAGATATGTTCCTTGCTACTAGGTTGTCCTGGCTTTTCAGTACTCTCAAGGGACAAAGCAAGGAAATACAGGTGTGCATAATAAACCAAGTACATACACATATCTGTATATATAAAGTATTTCTATATGCATCCATCTGTAACTATATTAAACTAGAGTTCATACAGATATCTCCAACTCTAATCCATTACCACATGAATCACTCCAGCCTTCCCTTCTTGCTTGTCTATAGCCTTCTACCCAACATTAAGAAACATGGTTCCTATCATCACCATCCAGTTATTAATTGTTGAATTCCAGTACACTTGTATAGTGGTTTCAGAATTATTACCAATACCTCCACAGGAAACTTTATCAACTGCAGCACAGTGCTTATGTACAGTCCCCACTGCCTTTAGTCTTACAGTCTAATTTCCAAAGTTATTCAGGTCAACACCTTTTCTCTCACCCCTTTCAGTGAGGTTATTGCATACATTTATAATACAGTTAGATTATTTTGTCACTCTGCATTCCATCCTGGAATCCCCACACTCCTGATATTATTTTTAAAATTTTGCATACATTAAATTCCACTCTGTGCTATAAAGCTCTATGGGTTTTAACACAGGCATGGTGTCATGTAAATACCAAAATAGTTCCACCACCATAAAAAAAATCCCGTGTGACTGATTTAAACCTCTCCCTTCCCCAAACTCCCTGTTTCTGTTACATTTTCCAAACAGAGGATGTACTGTATATCATTGCTTCTCATTCTTTCCCCTTATAACACGTTCACATTTATAAACACGTGATCTCATTTCAATCTTGAGTGCTTCCACTAAGCAGATGATTGAGTAAAACTTACAGAAAGAAAGTGTTTAGCCAGACGCAGTGGCTCACAACTGTAATCCCAGGATTTTGGGAGGCTGAGATGGGTGGATCACTTGAGCCCGTGAGTTCAAGACCATCCTTGGTAACAGGGTGAAGCCCTGTTTCTACAAAAAATACAAAAATTTTATTTAAAAGTGACAACACAAGAAAGTGGCTTGGTCAAGATCTCAGAAGTGATGGGGTCGGCACTAAAACTTGTACTTTTTGACTCCAGGTATGATCCACTTCCCGCTAGTCTATTTCTTTGTCCTTTCAGTAGAGAGTGGCATGGTTACGCAGAGACAAGAAGAAGAAAAACAAGAGGAGGCAGACATGATGGTAAGTGATTATTTAAATCATATCTTATACTAACAGAAGCTTTTAAACTAAAAGTATGATCAAGTGGAATTTTAGTTCCACAAATTAGGTGAACTTGATACTCCAAAATCCTTTCTGCTATCAACTACCTCCAAATGGCTGGATTAATGTGTTTTAAAAAGAAATCTTGTTAAACATACCCCTGGGCCAGCAAGAAATAGAAATCCTCAGAGACCAAAAGCTAGCAAAAGTCCAGAGCTGAGTGAGTACTGAGGTTAGCAGTCACCTAAAGCCTACAATGTATAAAAAACAAAATGTGTCACAAAAGTTGATTCTAAATAAACCCAAGTTTGGTTTAACATTAGAAAGTAGATCACTGTAATTTGCCACATTACCAGATTAAAATAAAAAATCATATAATCACCTCAGCAGATACAGAAAAGGCATCTGATAAAATTCAACATTCACTCATGATTAAAAATCAAATAAAACTTTTAGCGACTGTGAAATGGAAGAGAAGTGCATTAACTTGATAAAGGGTAGCTGCCAAAAACTTACAATCTCATCCTCAATGGTGAAATATTAGAATTATTCCCTTTATAAACATGAATAAGACAAGAATGTCCACTATCAATGGTTCTACTCAACACTGGAGGCCCTGGCCATCACAGTAAGAAAGGAAAGAGGAAAAAAAAGGTAAATGGTGGAGGAGGAAGTAACAAACTGTCACAATTTCCTAAGGATATAATTATCTATACAGAAAAAAATCCCCTCAACTCTACAAATGGCAATTATTATCATTAAAAGGAAAGTTTGGCAAGATTGCCAAATAAAAGATAAATATACAAATATATTTTCATATACTAGCAAACATACAGGTAGAAAACCTAATTTTAAAATATACTATTTAGCAGGGCACAGTGGCACCACCTGTAGTCCCAGGTATTCAGGAGGATCACTTGAGCCTAGGAGTTTAAGATTGTAATGCACAATGATCACACCTGTGAAAAGCCACTGTACTCCAGCCTGGGCAGCACAGTGAGACCCTATCTCTAAAAAAAATGCATACACACACACACACACACACACACACACACACACATATATACACACTATTTAAAACAATGACCAAAAATATAATATACTTAGGAAGTTGTAAAATATGCAAGTCCTTTAAAGAAAAAATTATAAAACTTCACTGAGCCACTAATGAAGACATAAATAAATGGAGAGATACATAGTAACTCTTGAATAAAATGAGTTTAAACTGCATGGGTCCACTTGTATGAGGATTTTTTTAAATCAAACTCAGATTGAAAATACAATATTTGGGGAATGTGAAATCTGAATATAAGGAGGGCTAACTTTTCATATACTTGGGTTCCACAGGGTAAACTCAAAGACTTGAGGATGTACAGATTTTGGTATATGTGGGCATCCTGGATCCAATCTCCCTAGCATACCGAGGAAAGACTCTATAGTCTTCACAAATAGGATAATTTGATATGGTAAAGATGTCAGTTCCCTTCAAACTGATATACACATTTAAAGCCATCCCAATCAAAATTTTAATAAGGTTTTGGGAAAGCTCAAGGTGATTTAAAAAGGTATATGAAAGTGCCAATAGCAAGAAAGAAATAAGACACTCCTAAAGAAGAGGAGTAAGACGGAACACTTGCCCTACCAGCTCCCAAGCCTGATTATAAAACTGCAGTGGTTACCTATCAGCCCAAGGACAGAAAAATAAGACAATGAAACAGAACACAGAGCACAGAAATAGACTTGACCAGATAGGTAACTTGATCTACGACCAAGCTAGCACTGCAAATCTGTGAAGAAATGAAGAGATTATTCAATAAGTGGGTCTGGAACAAGTGATTATTCATATACAAAAAATAATAATAATGAAAGGATCTCTAATTTACATCATACCCTCAAATCAGTTTCATCGCTGATTGAAGACTCAAGTAGGAAAGTTAAAATTTTAAAACTTAGAAAAAAATAAGAGGATATCTTTATGACCTCAAGTTAAGCATTTCTTAAACAAGAGTCAAATACTGATTACTTTTACCACATTTAATGTGAGAGCTTCTTTTTTTATATAGTATTGAATAAGCCACAAATTGGAAGAAGATATTTGTAACACATATTATAATTAAGGATTGGTATGGAGAAACATGCAGAAACATTCTAAACGTCAAGAAGAAAAAGACACAATCTAATAGAAAATGGGCAAAAGTCATGATCAGCCTTTGCAAAAGAATGAAAACATGAATGCCTAGTAACATTAAAAAAGATGCTCGCCTGTATTTATAATATGGAAAATGAATTAAAATATCATGATAGTCTTGTATTCACCACATTGGCAAAAGCTTAAGTCTGATAATACAAGTGCAGACAAGAATGTAAAGTAATGGGAAGTCAACTAATAAGAGTACAAATTAGTATAATCACAGAGAGAGTCAACATGGTATCACCTAATAAGCTGCAGATGCATGATATGGTTTGGTTGTGTCCCCAACAAAATCTCATCCTGAATTGTAGTTCCCGTATCTCCACGTTGTGGGAGGTAATTGAATAATGGGGGCAGTTATCCTTATGCTGATCTGAGGGTTTATAAGGGGCTTCTTTCCCACTTCACTCTGCACTTCTTCTTGCTGCTGCCATGTGAAGGAGGACGTGTTTGCTTCCCCTTCTGTTATGATTATAAGTTTCCTGAAGCCTTTTGGGCCTTGTGGAACTATGAGACAATTAAACCTCATCCCTTTATAAATTACCCAGTCTCAGGTATGTCTTATTAGCAGCATGAAAACAGACTAACAGAGTAAATTGGTACCAGGAATGCGGTGCTGCTGTAAAGATATAAAAAAATGTGGAAGCAACTTTGGAACTGGGTAACAGGCAGAGCTTGGAATAGTTGGAGGGCTCAGAAAAAGACAGGAAAATGTGAGAAAGTTTGGAACTTCCTCGAGATTTGGAGGCCTCAGAAGACAGGAAGATGTTGGAAAGTATGAAACTTCCTAAAGACCTGTTGAATAGCTTTGACCAAAATACTGATAGTCATATGGATAATAAAGTCCAGGCTGAGGTGGTCTCACCTGGAGATGAGTAACTTCTTGGGAACTGTAGTAAAGGTCATTCTTGCTATGCAAATAGACTGGAAGTACTTTGCCCCTGCCCTAGAGATCTGTGGAAGCTTGAACTTGAGAGAGATAATTTGGGTATCTGGAGAAAGAAATTTCAAAGCAGCAAATTGCTCAAGAGGAAGCAGAGCATAAAAGTTTGAAAAATGTGCAGCCTTGCTATGCAATAGAAAAGAAAAATTCCGGTCCCTCAGAACGGTCAGGAGGGAAGAAGGTGGCAAGATGGTGTTGGAAAGCACTATGGTGTGTGTGGACAACAGTGAGTATACGTGGAATGGGGACTTCTTACCCACCTGGCTGCAGGACCAGCAAGATGCTGTCAACATAGTTTGTCATTCAAAGACCTGCAGCATGGGCCAGAGAACAACATGGGCCTTATCACACTGGCTAATGACTGTGAAGTGCTGACCACACTCACCCCAGACACTGGTCGTATCCCGTCCAAGCTACACACTGTCCAACCCAAGGGCAAGATCACCTTCTGCACTGGCATCCACGTGGCCCATCTGGCTCTGAAGCACCGTCAGGGCAAGAATCACAAGATGCGCATCATTGCCTTTGTGGGAAGACCAGTGAAGGACAATAAGAAGGATCTGGTAAAACTGGCTAAATGACTCAAGAAGGAGAAAGTAAATGTTAACATTATCAATTTTGGGGAAGAGGAGGTGAACACAGAAAAGCTGACAGCCTTTGTAAACATGCTGAATGGCAAAAATGGAACCAGTTATCATCTGGTGACAGTACCTCCTGGGCCCAGCTTGGCCGATGCTAGCATCAGTTCTCCGATTTTGCCTGGTGAAGGTAGTGCCATGCTGGGTCTTGGTGCCAGTGACTTTGAATTTGCAGTAGATCCCAGTGCTGATCCTGAGCTGGCCTTGGCCCTTCATGTATCTATGGAAGAGCAGTGGCAGCGGCAGGAGGAGGAGGCCTGGCGGGCAGCTGCAGCTTCTGCTGCTAAGGCTGGGACTGCTACGACTGGGACTGAAGACTCAGACGATGCCCTGCTGAAGATGACCATCAGCCATCAAGAGTTTGGCCACACTGGGCTCCCTGACCTAAGCAGTATGACTGAGGAAGAGCAGAAGGGAGCAGAGTTTGGCCAGGCAGAATCAGCAGACATTGATGCCAGCTCAGCCATGGACACATCTGAGCCAGCCAAGGAGGAGGATGATTACGATGTGACACAGGAGCCCAAGTTCCTTCAGAGTGTCCTAGAGAACCTCCCAGGTGTGGATCCCAACAATGAAGCCATTCGAAATGCTATGGGCTTCCTGGCCTACCAGGCCACCAAGGACAGCAAGAAGGACAAGAAGGAGGAAGACAAGAAGTGAGACTGGAGGGAAAGGGCAGCTGAGCCCGCTTAGGGGACTGCATGGGAGGCACAGAATACAAAGTTAGATGAATGTTACCTGTAACCATTACAGCCTAAATAAAGCTTGGCAAGTATTTTTTCCTTTTTTGCTTCAAAAAAAAAGAAAAGAAAAGAAAAATTCTTATTCTGGAGAGAAATTCAAGCCAGCTGCAGATATTTGCATAAGTAACAAGGAACCAAATGCAAATCACCAAGACAATGGGGAAAATGTCTCCAGGGAATGTCAAGTACTATGAGGCAGCCCCTCCCATCACAGGTCCAGAGGCCTTGGAGGAAAAAATGGTTTCCTGGGCTGGGTGCAGGACCTCCCTACTGTGTGCAGCCTCAAGACTTGGTGCCCTGCACCCACACTGCTCCACCTGTGGCTAAAAGGGGCCAAGGTACAGCTTGGGCCATGGCTTCAGAGTGTGCAAGCCCCAAGCCTTGGCAGCTTCCATGTGGTTTTGGGCCTGTGGGTATACAGAAGTCAAGAATTGAGGTTGGGGAACTTCCACATAGATTTCAGAAAATGTACACAAACACCTGGATGTCCAGGCAGAAGTTTGCCGCAGGGGTGGATCCTTATCGAGAACCTCTGTTATGGCAGTGTGGAAGGGAAATGTGGGATTGAAGTCCCTATACAGAGCCCCTACTGTGGCACCACCTAGTGGAGCTGTGAGAAGAGGGTCACTGTCCTCCAGACCCCAGAATGGCAGATCCAATGACAGCTTGCACTGTGCACCTGAAAAAGCTTCAGACACTCAACACCAGCCCATGAAAGCAGCCAGGATCAGGACTGTACCCTGAAAATCCACAGGGGCAGAGCTGCCCAAGTCCATGGGAGCGTACCTCTTGTATCATCATGCCCTGGATATGAGACATGGAGTCAAAGGAGATCATTTGGGAACTTTAAGGTTTAATGCCTGCCCTATTGGATTTTGGAGTCCATAGGGCCTGTAGCCCCTTTGTTTTGGCCAATTTCTCCCATTTGGAACGGGTGTGTTTACCCTATGCTGGTACCCCCATTGTATATAAGAAATAACTTGCTTTTGATTTTACAGGCTCATAGGGAGAAGGGACTTCTTGTCTCAGATGAGACTTTGGACTTAGATTTTTGAATTAAGGCTGGAATTAGTTAAGACTTTGGGGGACAGTTGGAAGGATATGACTATGTTCTAAAATATGAGAACATGAGATTTGGAAGGGGCCAGGGGAAGAATAATATTGTTTGGCTGTGTCCCCACCCAAAGCTCATCCTGAATTATGGTTCCCATAATCCCCATGTGTTGTAGGAGGGACCTGGTGAGAGGTAATTGACTTATGGGAGTGGTTACCCTCATGCTGTTCTCATGAATGAGTTCTCATGAGATCTGATAGTTTTATAAGGGACTTCTTCTCCATTTTGCTCTGCACTTCTCCTTGTTGCTGCCATGTAAAGAAGGACATGTTTGCTTCTCCTTCCACCATGATTGCAAGTTTCCTGAGGCCTCCCCAGCCATGTGCAACTGTGAGTCAATTAAACCTCTTCCATTTATAAATTACCCAGTCTCCGGTATGCCTTATTAGCAGCAGGAGAATGGACTAATACAATGCATATAGCATATAATTCAGTAATTCAATACCTAGGTATATACTCTGGAGCAACTCTTTGTGGCAGGCAGAATTATAAAACAGTCCCCAATATACCCAGCCACTCATCCTTTGCATAGTCAACCAGTGTAGATAGGACCTGTGAAAATGATGGACAGTCATCTCCTTCATAGGTTGAGAAAAATATAGACCAGCTACATCTCCTTCATGTAATGTTGAGAAAACTATAGACAAGCTACAGAAGAGTACACATATATAATATGATTCAATAAATATGATGTTCAAAAACATTTAAAACAATTTTTTATCTAAAGAGGAAAGAGGGATCTGGGAATCATCACGGGTACATAAGAGATGTCAAAGTTTTAGGTAATATTCTGTTTCTTTTTAAGTTGATTATAAGTATATGGGTGTTCATTTTATAATTGTTATTTGTATATTATGCTATGTTACTTGTCCCGCTAAGGCGGGACGATTGCCTGAGCCCAGGAGTTCAGGACCAGTCTTTGAGATTTCTTTTCAAAAAATAAAATAAAGTAAAAGAGAGTATTTAGCTACTGATAATAGATTCTATACAAACATATTGTTTTTTCATAGTCCATTCATTCAACATACATACATATTAACCACATTTTAGGTAGTATAAAGGAGGCAGAATTATATATAAGTGTGTGTGTATACACACACACACACATATAATGTGTCTATGTATGTGTGTGTGTGTGTGTGTGTGTGTGTGTGTATATATTTTTTTTTTGAGACAGAGTCTGGCTCTGTCACCCAGGGTGGAATGCAGTGGTGTGATCTCAGCTCATTGCAACCTCCACCTCCCGGGTTCAAGTGATTCTCCTGCCTCAGCCTCCCAAGTAGCTGGGACTACAGGCAGGCACCACCATGCCCAACTAATTTTTGTATTTTTAGTAGAGATGGGGTTTCACCATGTTGGCCAGTATGGTCTCGATCTCCTGACCTCGTGATCCACCCCACTTAGCCTCCCAAAGTGCTGGGATTACAGGTGTGAGCCACTGCACCCAGCCTAGAGGCAGAATTGTAGTACTATTCAGTTTCTGCCCAGGTTAGTTGGGAAGACAAATGACAATTCTAATAGAGTGCCACAACAGTGTACAAAGTAACATGGAAACACAGAAAAGACTACTAACCAAGCTGGAAGAGTTAGGGAAAGGGTCTCAGTGGAGCTGTGATACCTGCAATGAGTCTTGAGAGAAACTTATAAGAGGAGAGGAGAGAAAGTTTCAGATAAAGAAAATCCCAAATATAAAGGCACATCGTCTTGATAAAGTCCACAAACGTGTCAGAACAACAAAAGCAAACATGAGGGATGGTCAAAGAGATGAGGCTGAAAATGTGGGCTAGGTGAAGATAATGAAGTGCCCAGCATTCTAACCAAAGAGATTCAGATTTTGTATAAGGTACCTATGTGAACACCTAGGGATTTTGTACATGTATCCTCAAGGCTATGAGATTTCTGTAGGAGAAACCTTTCATTTTCAATTTGATAATAATCTAAAAAAAAAGAATATTAACAAAAGGACACTCTGGATCATCTGAATGACCACTTCTTAATTGAGTGCTGTCAAAAGATTTGAGTTCACATATGTGTGTTTAGGAGTGTATTGTTAAACAAGTGGTACAATTTGTCATTGGTATTTTTTTTTTGAGATGGAGTTTCGCTCTTGTTACCCAGGCTGGAGTGCAATGGCGCGATCTCGGCTCACCGCAACCTCCGCCTCCTGGGTTCAGGCAATTCTCTTGCCTCAGCCTCCCGAGTAGCTGGGATTACAGGCACATGCCACCACGCCCAGCTAAGTTTTTGTATTTTAAGTAGAGATGGGGTTTCACCATGTTGACCAGGATGGTCTCGATCTCTTGACCTCGTGATCCACCCGCCTTGGCCTCCCAAAGTGCTGGGATTACAGACTTGAGCCACCGTGCCCAGCCGTCATTGGTATATGTTAATGAGAATGTAATGGGGACTGCTGTATGTAAATTATGTTATGTTGTTTGTCAACTGAAGGACAAATGAAACCATGAAATACTGAACAAAGGAAGGTTTTGTGGTGATTTAAATAAAGAAAACTGATGAAGACATCAAGTAATCTCTCCAACACAAGGGCAATATGTACAGGCCTTTCTGTAAGGAAGGTATGCACTTCCTTACCACAGAGAACATCCACTTTTAAAGCTTTTCAGGTCCAACTAAAGCCTCATTGCTCACAATCATTTGAATGTATTGGTTTTATAGTTTTGTTTCATTTAACTTGTAGATGTTTGGGTGTTATCAGTATATAAAAGATACAACACACAAACACACAAATAAAAAAGACAAAAAAAAAAGAAAGAGACAACATAAGGAGTTTATACCTAATTTTATCTTTGCATATATGTAAACATACTAAAAAGATTTTAAGTTAACAATGGAGGATCCTGGGTATCTTACTTGGGTGTAAGAAATTCTGCTATAGGCCAGGGGCAGTGGCTCATGCCTGTAATCCCAGCAATTTGGGAGGTCAAGGTGAGTAGATCATCTGAGGTCCAGGAGTTCAAGACTAGCCTGGCCAACATGGTGAAACCCTGTCTCTACTAAAAATACAAAAATTGTCTGGATGTGGTGGTGCGTGCCTGAGGCAGGAAAATCACTTGAAGCTGGGAGGTGGAGATTGCAATGAGCTGAAATTGCACCACTGCACTCCAGCCTGGGTGACAGAGCAAGACTGCATTTCAAAAAAAAAAAAAAAAGAAATTCTGCTATGGGTGTTGGGAGCTGCTGAAAGAATGCAACAGGCAAGTGACAGCTTGTGCTTTAGGAAAATCACTCTGGCAGCAGTATGGAGGAGGGTTAGAATTAAAAGTACCCAAGTAATAGGAGCAGGAGGGAGACAAATCCTAGGCAGATGGGGGTGGGTCCCCAGCGAAACTTGACCTTCAAGCCAAACATAGCTTAAAGCCTAGCTACATGTCCTTGATAAATCTATGGACCAGACTGAGAAATTCTCTTCCCATTTGGCACACTTTTCTCTGATTGATTCCTACCCTTTACATATTTTACATATACCCACCCTCCTCTAATTTGTTTTTTATACTGTTGTGCCCACTTTTGAGTGGTGCCTTTGTTTTAGCCTCTTGTGCATACTCACAAACCAATCAGCACACACTTCCCCATTATAAGCCCATGAAAGCCCCTGGACCCAGCCATTCTGGAAGAGGCCACCCCACTTTGGGTGGGGGACCACCCTTGTGTCCCCCCTAAGCTGAGAGTAAAAGGAGTTAGCCAGCTTGCTTTAGGCAGACAGCAAGGGAAGAGTCCCTGAAGAACCTATGACCTGCCTCACAAGTGCTTACACCAGATGTTTTGTGCAGATAAGGGAACTTGCACAGGGGGCTTGCCTAAACATGCCCACAGTAGAAAATTCCATTCCTTAACACATGCACAGTAAGGGAAAAAATCAATGTGGAGTAGCTCAGACTAAGAGCCCACAAGCACATTGGAAGGATGAGGTGGAGCCTCCAGAAATTTGCACCTTAAGCCCAGGTATTATTCAACTGTAAAGAGGGCACCAGCAACCTGCTTTCACGACCCCTTCTTTTTGCTGAGAGATTCCTTTCACTTGATAAATTCTGCTCTACTCACTCACCACACACCTAATTCTTCCTGGTTGTGAGACAAAAACTCAGACGTAGCTGAGCTGAGGATCAAGAGCTGTTTTGTCACTCAATAAAACTCTTCTCTGCCCTCCTCACCCTCTGCTTGTTAATCTCACTCTTGGATGCACAACAAGAACTCAGGATGCCACTGAACATGGGTTCGAAGAAAGCAATAACACTGTAGCTCTCCGCCCCACCAGTGGCACTGGTGGCCACCCCACACAACAGGAAGCAGGGCAGGGGCAAGGCCAGTCCCAGAGCTGTGGGCTGGAACAGGGTAACAGGACTGATAGAGCTGCTAACATGATCCTGTTCATCGGGCTGCAGACAGCGGGTTTAAAAGAGCTGTTGGCACAACGTAATATCCACCTCTGGGGCTTCTGGGTTGCAGGCACCCCTGTTTGGTTACCACCTTCCCCTAGTCTGGATGCCAGAGTCCACTGTGGGAGTCACTTGTGACATGCCTGGTTCAGCTGCAAGCCCTGCATGGAGCCTGCTCCTGTGCTGGCACTTGGAGCAACCAAGTGGACACCATGTGACTGCACACTTGCTTGCTCAGACACCCTCTCCTGCCAGGGGCTGAGCCTGCATCAGGTGTCCACAGGATCCATGCCTGAGCAGAAGCCAGGAGTAGCCCAGTGGGCCAGTTGTGCAGGGTACCTCCTGTGGCAAGCCCAGCCCAAGGAAGGCCCAGGTAGGTCTCTGGCTGCAGAGATCTCCAGCTGGCAAAGCAACATATACACATAAACACACACACACAAAATCCTGTGTCACAAGTAAGGCAGAAAGAATAATTAGGAGGCTACTAAATAATGTGATTAAAAAATGGTACAACCCTAAGTTACTTAGATAAAATGTACATGAGATGGATAAGAGAATCGAAAGGACTTGGTTGTGGGTGAGGGACAGCAAGGTATCAAGGCTGATTCTCCCTTAGTGATGACTTGGTGAAATAAAGACCACAGGAAGGAAGACAAACAAGTGGGGGCAAAAAGGAAGGAGATATGAGAGAGTTGATGAATCCAATTCAGCAATGATTTGAATTTCATTTATACCAAAGAAAACCCAGTTATCTTTTCTGGGTTCCAGTTTTCTCAGTGACAGCTGCATTCATGAATTACCAAAATTAACTATTGTAGCACTCTCTAAAAATATACAAAGCACTCTACCATATGCTGTAAATAAGTCATGAAAAATCAGCAAAAGCTTGGGCCATGAAGGAAACTCAGCAGGGTTAAAAAGAGATATGGCCAACTTTTACTAAACACTTAAATTGTGACCCAGCACATTCACCAGTATTGCAAGTACTCACCTAACGTCATCAACAGATTCTTGGAAACTCTGACTGTAAGCAAAATGACATATAACAAAACCATTTTTTACCATAGACCAATTGATATAAACAAGCCTGAAGTTCCTATAACATATATTTCTAGTCGCAAAAACATCACCAAACTCCTAAAGACCAAAACACTTCTAACAGTAAACATTGAAACAAATGGAAGCTATACATATATTTAAGGAAGATTAATAAAAACAAGTAAGATAGTTATTTACCCAATTATTCCAGTTCAGAGTCGAGGGTGGCTGGAGCCTATCCCCTTAGCTCAAGGTGCATGGTGGGAACCAACCCTGGACACTAGGACATTCCGTCACAGGACGCACTCACACCCACACTTAGGAACCATACAGACAGGCCAATTCACCCAGCCTGCACTGATATGTGGGGCGCAGTACCCTGGGGTACCTCGTGAAAACCCATGCAGACGTGGGGAGAAGGGGCAAGCTCCACACAAACAGTATCCCTGGTAGGAACTGATTTTTTTTTTCTCATCAACTTATAACAAAATGACATTGAACGAAAGAATGCGATTCGAGGACCTGCTGTACTGTACTTTTTGCTCTGCCAGTCGGGTGCGATCGCTTTCTTAGAGCACCCTACGAACAAGCATGCTCAAGTGCACGTGGGAGATACAGCGACACCACCCTCAAGGGACTTACAGCAAGGCGGTGGGACACATGTGGTGCATGATTGCTGCAAGTTTAGTGTGCTAGGAACTTTGAACATACCGGCAGGACTAGTTAACAAAGTATATATTTTACTTAGAGATGTCGACGAGGGATATCTTAGGTCGTCCAATAAGAATGTAAGCATCTCATATTTTATTCCCTATAAAGAAAAAAAGAATGGAGGCGAGAGGAAGGAAAATGTAGCAATTATCGCAAAACCACCCAGTATCCCCGCAGGACACCAAAGGACGGGCCTCCAGGAAAGATTAACTCAATCCGAGCTTGGAGGGTGAAACTAGGAGTGAATGCAAAGCCAGCATCTTCCTAATACAAAAGCACAGTTTACCGTCCCCCTCAGCCAACGTGCAGCTGAAGGGAAAGCCGCGGGGCGTACCTTTAGCATGGGACGCTGTTTTGAGGGGCCCCTGACACAGCGCCCCACCCGGCACCTGGCCAGAACCTCCGAGGGCGAAGGTCAGGGGCTGAGAGGCGTGGGGGTACCAGAACAGTGAGGGACGGATTCCTAAATGCAGGGCGCACTTACGCAGCAGAGCTGAAAGCAGCAGCACCGCGCCCTCTGGGCTAGGCTCAGCTAGTCAGCCGTAGCTCCAGAAAAGCGCGCCCGCCAGACAGCGTAGTCTCAGCCGGCCGGAGGAGGCGGGGCCGCGGCGTGGAGGCGGGGCCGGGAAAGCCCTCGCTCCCCGCCGCCTGATGGGAATTGTAGTTCCTGGGAGAAGCCGGACTGCCTCACGAGGCACTGGGAACTACATTTCCCGGTGAAAGAGTGGCCCCGGTCCGCGGCGCAGTAGCGGAGCGTCGCACTGTCTGCGGCCAGAGGGCCTGTGAGGAGCAGGTCGAGAACGGAGAGCTTCTTCCCTCTTCTCCGCGCTGTGCCGGTGCAGCGGCTCTGCTTTCCCTTGCCCCGTCGTCGGGTGCTCCCGGCCCGGCTCCCCGTGTCAGCTTTTCCCGGGCCTCCCCGGGAAAGTCGGGGCCTCGAAATTCGGAGGCAGCGGCGGCTGCCCAGCACGGGAGTGTGGGGCGCGCCCCTCTGCGGCCCAGCCTACCCAGCGCCCGGCCCGCGCCTCCATGGGCCCGACCCGGAAGCCTAACGTGTGCAGCCGGCTAAGTCGCCGGGCGCTGGGCTGCTTCTCGCGCGACGCAGGCGTGGTACAGAGGACCAACCTGGGCATCCTACGGGCGCTGGTGTGCCAGGTGACCGCGCGCCGGCCGGGGGCAACGGAGGGCTACGGGCACCTGGCGGCCGAGCCTCCTGCGGGATGCGGTTTTAACGCACTGCCCCCTCCCCCCTTTTTAACAGGGTCACAGGTGATTGGGAGGAGGATACAAGCCCGGAATCTGGTGGATTAGTCAATAGGTGGTTATGGGGCCTCCAGATGCTTTTAGTTTTATGCTGCTTCTGTCTTCCCTGTAAACAATTATTCTAAATGTTGGTCACCTCATTAAACCAAAACATGAGGGCAGAGTGAAGGAAGGATTCAAAATCAGTTTTTGAATAACGTAGGTGAAATTATGTTACTTTGGAAAGTTAAAATCCAACTTAAAATTGGTACACAGTGGAAGCTAAGTTCTTTCCTGAACGAAAATTCTTTGTGTCTTTTAGGAAAGTACTAAATTTAAGAATGTCTGGACAACTCATTCCAGGTCACCTATAGCCTATGAGAGAGGAAGAATATATTTTGACAATTATCGGCGCTGTGTCAGCAGGTAACTTTTTCCTTTTAAACTGGAAATTTGTGTGTGTGTGTGTGTGTGTGTATTGCACTTAGGTTCTGGAGTACATGTACAGAACATGCAGGATTGTTGCATAGGTACATACTTGGCATTGTGGTTTGCTGCCTCCATCCCCCGTCACCTACATCTGGCATTTCTCCCCACGTTATCCCTCCCCAACCTCCCTGTCCCTCCTCTAGTCCCCCGCAACAGACCCCAGTGTGTGATGCCCCCCTCCCTGTGTCCATGTGTTGTTCTATCATTCCACACCCCCCTATGAGTGAGAACATGTAGTGTTTGATTTTCTGTTCTTGTGTCAGTCTGCTGAGAATGATGGTTTCCAGATTCATCCATGCCCCTAGAAAGGACATGAACTCACCATTTTTTATGGCTGCATAGTATTCCATGGTATATATGTGCCACATTTTCCTGGTCCGGTCTATCATCGATGGGCATTTGAGTTGGTTCCAGGTCTTTGCTATTGTAAACAGTACCAAAATGAACATACAAGTGCATGTGTCTTTATAATAGAATTACTTATAATCCTTTGGATATATACCCAGTAATGGAATTGCTGGGTCAAATGGAACTTCTATTTCCTTTTTTTTTTAATGTATATATATTTTAGTGCATTTTACGTTTTGGGGTACATGTGAAGACCATGCAAGATTGTTGCATAGGTACATACATGGCAATGTGGTTTGCTGCCCTCCTCCCCATCACCTATATATGGCATTTCTCCCCATGTTATCCCTCCCCAACTCCCCACCCCCCACTGTCCCTCCCCTAGTTCCCCCCGGCAGACCCCAGTGTGTCATGCTCCCCTCCCTGTGTCCATGTGTTCTCATTGTTCAACACCCACCTATGAGTGATAACATGCGGTGTTTGATTTTCTGTTCTTGTGTCAGAGAATGATGGTTTCCATGTTCATCCATGTCCCTGCAATGGACGTGAACTCGTTTTTTATGGCTGCATAGTATTCCATGGTGTATATGTGCCACATTTTCCCTGTCCAGTCTATTATTGATGGGCATTTGGGTTGGTTCTAGGTCTTTGCTATTGTAAACAGTGCTGCAGTGAACATTCGTGTGCATGTGTCCTTATAGTAGAACGATTTATAATCCTTTGGATATATACCCAGTAATGGGATTACTGGGTCAAATGGAATTTCTATTTCTAGGTCCTTGAGGAATCACCACACTGTCTTCCACAATGGTTGAACTAATTTACACTCCCACCAATTGGGAGTGTAGAAGTGTTCCTATTTCTCCGCATCCTCTCCAGCATCTGTTGTCTCCAGATTTTTTAATGATCGCCATTCTAACTGGTGTCAGATGTATCTCAATGTAGTTTTGATTTGCATTTCTCTAATGACCAGTGATGAGCATTTTTTCATACATTTGTTGGCCTCATCTACATCTTCTTTTGAAAAGTGTCTATTCATGTCCTTTGCCCACTTTTGAATGGGTTTGTTTGTTTTTTTTCTTGTTAATCTGTTTTAGTTCTTTGTAGATTCTGGATATTAGCCCTTTGTCAGATGGATAGCTTGCAAAAATTTTTCCCATTCTGTTGTTTACCAGTTCACTCTGATGATTGTTTCTTTTGCTGTACAGAAGCTCTAGAGTTTAATTAGATCCCCTTTGTCTATTTTGGCTTTTGTTGCCAATGTTTTGGTGTTTTAGTCATGAAGTCCTTGCCTATACCTATGTCCTGAATGGTTTTGCCTAGATTTTCTTCTAGGGTTTTTATGGTGTTAGGTCTTGGTTTAAGTCTTTAATCCATCTGGAGTTAATTTTAGTGTAAGGTGTCAGGAAGGGGTCCAGTTTCTGCTTTCTGCACATGGCTAGCCAGTTTTTCCAACACCATTTATCAAACAGGGAATCCTTTCTCCATTGCTTGTTTTTGTGAGGTTTGTCAAAGATCAGATGGTTGTAGATGTGTGGCGTTGCCTCCGAGGCCTCTGTTCTGTTCCATTGGTCTATATCTCTGTTTTGGTACCAGTACCATGCTGTTTTGTAGTATAGTTTGAAGTCAGGTAGTGTGATGCCTCCAGCTTTGTTATTTTTGCTTAGGATTGTCTTGGCTATGTGGGCTCTCTTTTGGTTCCATATGAAGTTTAAGGTGGTTTTTTTCTAGTTCTGTGAAGAGGGTCATAGGTAGCTCGATGGGGATAGCATTGAATCTATAAATTACTTTGGGCAGTATGGCCATTTCCATGATATTGATTCTTCCTAACCATGAGCATGGAATGCTTTTCAATCTGTGTCCTCTCTTATTTCCTTGAGCAGTGGTTTGTAGTTCTCTTTGAAGAGGTCCTTTACATCCTTTGTTAGTTGTATTCCTAGGTATTTTATTCTCTTTGTAGCAATTGCGAATGGCAGTTCGTTCTTGATTTGGCTCTCTTTAAGTCTGTTATTGGTGTGTAGGATTGCTCGTGATTTTTGCACATTGATTTTTGTATCCTGAGACTTTGCTGAAGTTGCTTATCAATTTCAGGAGATTTTGGGCTGAGACGATGGGGTCTTCTAAATATACAGTCATGTCGTCTGCAAACAGAGACAATTTGACTTCCTCCCTTCCTAATTGAATAACCTTTATTTCTTTTTCTTGCCTGATCGCTCTGGCTAGAACTTCTAATACTATATTGAATAGGAGTGGTGAGAGAGGGCATCCTTGTCTAGTGCTAGATTTCAAAGGGAATGCTTCCAGTTTTTGCCCATTCAGTATGATGTTGGCTGTTGGTTTGTTTTAAATAGCTTTTATTATTTTGAGATACGTTCCGTCAATACCTAGTTTATTGAGAGTTTTTAGCATAAAGCGCTGTTGAATTTTGTCAAAGGCCTTCTCTGCATCTATTGAGATAATCATGTGGTTTTTGTCTTTGGTTTTGTTTATGTGGTGGATTATGTTTATAGACTTGCGAATGTTGAACCAGCCTTGCATCCCTGGGGTGAAGCCTACTTGATTGTGATGGATAAGCTGTTTGATGTTCTGTTGCAGTCAGTTTGCTAGTATTTTATTGAAGATTTTTGCATCTATGTTCATCATGGATATTGGCCTGAAGTTTCTTTTTTTGTTGAGTTTCTGTCGCGTTTTGGTATCAGGATGATGATGGTCTCATAAAATGATTTGGGAAGGATTCCCTCTTTTTGGATTGTTTGGAATAGTGTCAGAAGGAATGGTACCAGCTCCTCTGCAGGTAACTTTTTATTGATAATTTTTGCTGTAATTTGCCTCACAGTTGTTGATCTTAACTGTAATTTGTATAGAACCACATGCCTACATTAGTGCCTAGTGAAAATAGAATGGAAAGATGGGTCCAAAATTAGACTAGGTAGTAAAAAAAAATGCATGTAATTTAAAAATCTTGTTAAATCCCAAGTTGCAGGTTTTATTTTTGTAAATAGCAACTTAAAGCAAAACTACTTTATAGTGTAGGCAAAACCATAGATTGTTCAGAGCACTGTTTAGTATTTTATTCTACTTATACCACAGTCAAGAAATACAGGGCCAGGCGCAGTGGCTCATACCTGTAATCCCAGCACTTTGGGAGGCTGAGGTGGGTGGATTGTCTGAGCTTGGGAGTTCGAGACCAGCCTGGCCAGCATGGTGAAACACCATCTCCACTAAAAAAAGAAATACAAAAATTAGCCGGGCATGGTGGCAGGTGCTTGTAATCTCAGCTAGTCAGGAAGCTGAGGCAGGAGAATTGCTTGAACCAAGGAAACAGAAGTTGCAGTGAGCCAAATTTGTGTCATTGCACTCCTGCCTGGGCAACAGAGCAAGACTCCGTCTAAATGAGAGAGAGAGAGAGAAAGAGAGAGAGAAGGAAGGAAGGAAGGAAGGAGAGAGAGAGCGAGAAAGGACTGAAGGAAGGAAGGAAAGAAGAAAAGAAAGAAGGAAAGAGAAAGAAAGAAATCCATTTGCCAACCAAATAATTAGATGCTGCTTTGGATAATTGATGGATTATTTTGGAAGTACTTGCCTTTTTTTTTTTTTTTTTTTTTAGAGAAATTGTTTCAAACAAAAGGTCTACTATTTAGAGATCCAAAATGTTTAACAGTCAACCTCATCCACAACTGTCCAACATGAGGCTGGAAGGAAAGCCAAAATGCATCCCCACATACTCATTACCTAGATTCAAAAACTATCAAGATTTGCCACATTTGTTTTATCTAACCCACTTTTCCTTTTGCATTACCTCTTTTAAAGCATATTCTAAACATACATAATTCAGTTTGTATTTTTTAAAAATATGGATATTTTCTTTTTAAAGGCTTTATTAGGATTTAATTCAGATATTGTATTACCCATTTAAAGTGTACATTTCAATAATTTTAGTAATTCACAGATACATGTAATCACTACCACAGTTAATTTTAGAGCATTTTCATCACCTCAAAATAGAACCATGTACCTTTCAGCAGTCACCCTAATACCACTGTTACCCTCAGCCCTAAGCAACCACTAGTCTATTTTCTGTCTGTAGATTCACCTATTCTGGACATTTCATATAAATTGAATCATGTAACATGTGGTCCTTTGTGACTGGCTTTTTCACTTTGTGTGTTTTCAGGGTTCGTCCATGTTGTCACATGCATCAGAATTCCTTTATATAGTTGAATAATATTGCATTGTATCAATACACCACATTTTACTTATCCATTTGTCAGTTGTTAGACATTGGTGTTTCTACCTTTTAGCTGTTATGAATAATGCTGCTATAAACAGTTCCATATAAGTTTTTATGTGGGCATTTATTTTCAGTTTTCCTGGATATACATGTAGGGATGGAATTAGTGGGTCATAAGGTTATATTGTAACTGTGTTTAATAGTTGGAAGAACTACCATACTCTTTTCTAACATGATAGTACCATTTTATGTTCCCATAAGCAGTATCTGAGGGTTCTGATTTTTCCACATCCTTGTCAACACTTGGTATGTGACTCACGGTATCTCCTTGTGGTTTTGATTTAATTTCCCTGATGACTAGTGATATCAAGCATCTTTTCTTGTACATATTGGCTATTTATATGTTATTCCTTGGAGAAATCTCCAGTTAGATCATTTGCCCATTTTTAATTTTTTTTTTTAACGAAAATCCTTACATATTTTAAATACGAGTCCCTTATCAGATACATGATTTGCAAATACTTTCTCCCATTGTGTAGATTGTCTTTTTACTTCCCTGATGTTATTGTTTGAAGCACAGAGAGGTTAATTTTGATGAAGTCCAGTTTATCTAAATGTTTTTTTATTGCTCATGCTTTTGGTGTCCTATCTAAGAATCCACTGCAAAATTTGAGGTCATGAAGATTTTCCCCTTTTTTTCTAAAGGGTTTATAGTTTTAGCTCATATTTAGGTGGTTGATTCAGTTTGGGTTAATAGTAGTATATGATATAGGGTAGGTATCGAACTCCATTTTTTTTTTTAACATGTAGCTATGCATTTGTCCTAGCACCATTTATTAGAAAGATGTATTTTTTTCTTCATTGCAAGGGCTTGCCACCGTTGTCAAAAATCTTTTGACTATAGACACTTTTGGGTTTACTTCTGGATGTTCAAGTCTGTTCCACAGATCTGTATGTCTGTCCTTATGTCAGTACCACATTGTCTTGATCACTGCTTCTGTGTTATTTCTTCCGCAAATGCTTGGTGGAATTCACCATTGAAAGCATCTGGGCTTGGCACTTTCTGTTTTGGAAGGTTGTTGATTATTGATTACATTTCTTTAATAGATACAGGCTTATTCAAGTTATCTAATTCTCCTTGGGTAAATTTTGATAGATTATGTCTTTCAAGGAATTCATATAAATTATCCAAATTTGTGAGCCTAGACTTAGTCATAATGTTTTTTTATTATTGTTTTAATGACCATGAGATTTGGTAGTGATAGTCCTCAGTTTCTCATGTTAGTAATCAATTTTGTTGACCTTTTCAAAAAAACAGATTTTGGTTTTGTTGATTTTTCTCTATTGATTTTCGGTTTTCAACTTTATTACTTTCTGGCCTAATTTTTATTTCTTTGCTTACTTTGTTCTATATGCATTTTCACTTAATTCAAAATATTTTTAAATTTCTCTTGAGATTTCTTTGACCCATGTGTTATTTAGATTTGTGTTGTTCACTCTCCAAATATTTTGGGATTTTCCAGTTATCATTATTTTATTTGTGCTTTAATACCACTGGGACCTGAGAGCATACTTTGTATTCTAGTCTTTTAAAATTTGTTAAGGTGTCTTCATGTAAGCTTGAGAAGAATGTGTATTTTGCTGTCATTGGATGAGATATTCCGTTAGATCCAGGTGACTGATGATACCTTTCAGTTTTAAGTATATGCTTACTGACTTTCTGCCAGCTGGATGTGTTAATTACTGATGGGTGTGTGTTGAAATCTCTAACTATAATAGTGAGTGGATTTGTCTATTTCTCCTTGCATTTCTATCAGTTTTTGCCACATTGTATTTTGATACTCTTGTTAGATGCATATATATTAAGGATTATTATGCCTTCTTGAAGAATTGACACCTTTTTCATTATTTTATGCCCACTTAATCAATGTTAATTTTCCTTGCTGAATTTGACTTGTCTGAAATTAGCATAGCTACTCCAGCTTTCTTTTGTTTCATATTTGCACATTGTATCTTCGCAATTCTTACTGAGCAGTAGTAGGTTTTCTTGAATAAATGTTTCTTCATATGCCATATGTCCCCAAGACCATCTACAGAGAAGTTAAATAGTAATCCTTTTATGATTTTCACCAGTTTTGCCAAAGAGTTTGTCCACAGAGCTCTTCATGCCCTCATGCTAGACATTTTCTTATCTTATGTCATTACCACACCTAGGAAAATGAGCAACAATTCTTCAGTATCATTTAATGTCCAGTTTATAACTTCCACAATTTGGAGATATCTGCTTTTAACTTAAAAAAAGTTTAAATTAGAGTAAGTGGTGTTTATTGTGTTCTAATGATTAAATATTATTGAGTAATGTCCAGGGGTGTTTTACCTACAGGTTATAATCACATATGAAGTTGCCTTCATGCCTGCAAAATTCTGTTTGATTTAAACTTTTGAATCAGTGAGAGAATGTCAAAGAGATATGATAAAATTGTCACCTGAAAATTGTTTCTCTTTGAGCAGTAATTTAATTTCAAAGTTCATTTAAAAAAATGAAAACAGCCAGGTGCAGTGGCTCACACCTGTGATCCCAACACTTTGAGAGGCTGAGGCAGGTGGTTTACTTGAGTCCAGGAGTTCAGGACCATCCTGGGCAACATGACAAAACCCTGTCTCTACAAAAAATATGAAAATTAACCAAGTGTAGTAGCATGTGCCAGTAGTCGCAGTTATTTGGGAGGTTGAGGCAGGAGGATCACATGAGCCTAGGAGGTGGAGGTTGCAGTGAGTCAAGATCATGCTATTGCACTCAGCCTGGACAACAGAGTGAGAGACTGAGAAAGAAAGAGAAAAAGAGAGAGAAAGGGGAAGAAAGGAAAGGAAGGATGGAAGGAAGGAGAAAAGAAAAGAAAAAACATTTATGATCACATCTCAACTAATCAGAGAAGTGCAAATTAAAAGTAAGAGACTCACATCAAAGATACAGCATTCAATATTGGCAGAAGTATAAACTTACTCAACCTTTCTGAAAAGTAATTTGAGAGTGAAAAAGAGCCATAAAGGGTTTTTTGTTTAATTCACTCATTTTCATTCTAAAATAATGGAACCCTTTTTATCCGGTAATTTTCATTTTAAATATCAGAAGAATAGTTTTTTATCTTGATGGAATTCAACAGAGATATTCCTAGTAAATGTTCAGGGGTAAAGAAAGAATTTAGTATGAATCAGTTTCGGAAAACAATGTCCAGGTACATATGTGTATATAAACCAGAAGAAAATGAACCAAAATATTAATAATGGTTATTTTTGGCAGTTTTATATATAGTATTCAAACAATTTTAAATTTGTTATATTTTTTAGATATTTTTCTATGAATTACGTGATCAGAAAAAATTATTAACATTTAGTTAAAAGGAAAGCAAACATGTTTTGGTATTTCAGATCTCTGAATAAAAATAGTCTCTCAGACCTGAACAAATACTGCCTTGGTTATCAAAAATAACAATAATTATTTTTTCCCAGTGTTGCATTGGAGCCAAGAAAACTTTATGAAATGCCAAAATGTTCCAAATCAGAAAAAATAGAAGATGCTTTGTTATGGGAATGCCCAGTGGTAAGATTTGTTTTTAGAGCATTTGTTTCTAAAGCATTTTTAGCCTAGAAGAACCGGTTATTATTAACATATTGCATAAAAGAATAAAACAAATATCATAGTTATTCTTGCATCTTTAAAGCGTCAAGATGAGAGCATATCTTTTATTTTCTTCATGAAATAATTTCTATATTAAAAATATTATGAATGTATTTTTTAAATTAGAATTGTTTAGATCCTGAAAACTAGAAGTTATAATTCAATTAAAAGTTATATAAGCAGCATAACCTAATGTATAATTATCTTAATGTTTAAGAGATCATCCCACTCAATATACTGCAATAGTAACGAAGTATTTATTTAGTGCAATAGTTATGCTACATGAATGTTGTTAGGAAAATAATAGGATAAGCTCATTTCATAAGACTAGCTTTGCCTGGGTGTCTATTTTCCAGAATACTGTTTCCATGGAACATTAACAGATGCCAGAGGAGTTAGGGGGAATTGGGCTGTGAAAAAATACGTTTGGGACATTCTCAGTTTGAAAGCTTAAACATATTTATTGATAGAATTACTTCTCAGAGCCTTTGATAATAATAATACAGTAATACTAATATGTATGATGATTGTCAAGTCATTTCCCCAAATTCTTTTGATCATAGAACTTCCTTGTTTTAGGAATATTTCTGAATACAAGTTGAGCATCCCTAATCTGAAAATCTGAAATCTGACATGCTCCAATATTCAAAACTTTTTGAATGCCAACATGATGTCACAAGTGGGAAATTTTACACCTGACCTCATGTGACAGGCACAAAATTTAAAATATTACGTAAAATTATCTTCAGGCTACATGTGTAAGATGTATATGAAACATAAATGAATTTTTTGTTTAAACTTGGGCGTCATCCTTAAGATAACCTCATTATGTGTATGCACATATCCCCAAATCCAAAGAAATTTAAATCTGAAACACTTCTGGTCCCAAGCATTTCAGTAGGAGAAGGGATAATCAACCTGTATTTGTTTTCTGTAGTATCCGTGCTTATTCTAAGAAATGCACTTAAGAAATACTACAACAGATTAATCAGGTCTTTAAATTTGATTGGTTGTCCTTTAGGAAAAATGGAACTCATAATATGTGACCAAAAATAATTTTTAAATGATAAGAGGCTATACGCTAAATTTACTATTTCTTTTTTCAGGCTATCATTTTTACATAAAGTTTTAGTTTTCTGGAGCTGTTGCTTTCTTTTTCTCTGAATACTTATTGTCTGTTCATTGAAGGCTCCTATTTAAAAATTAGAAAGCTTTTAAACCTATGTTTCCTTCCTCAACTCCTTATTGAAAGCTAAAAATAACTGTTGTGCCTTTAACATTTAAAGCTCTTTGATCCATTTTCATCAGGGAGTATGAGGGAAGATGACAGATTTCCTAATTGAGAAAGTTTTAAATACACTAGTATAAAGCACCAAAAATTTGGTAACCTAGTTTCTATTCTCACTTTTTTTTTTTTTTTGAGATGGTCTCCCTCTGTTGCCCAGGCTGGAATGCTGTGACATGATCTCAGCTCACTTCCAGTGATCTCAGTCTCCACCTCCCAGGTTCAAGCAATTCTCCTGCCTCAGTCCCTGGAATAGCTGAGATTACTGATGCCTACCACCATGTCTGGCTAATTTTTGTATTTTTTAGTAGAAACAGGGTTTCGCCATGTTGGCCAAGCTGGTCTCAAACTCCTGACCTCAAATGATCCACCCACCTTGGCCTCCCAAAGTGCTGGGATTACAGGCATGAGCCAGCATGCCTGGCTCCTATTCTCACTTATTTTTAAACATTTTATTTTCATTTGAAGTGCAGCAAGATTTTCTCTTCAGGAAAAACCAGGAAACATTGAATTGTTACTAACATACTGATGTGAAACTACTTTTAAATCAGTTTCCATCTTTTTCAAGACTGTGTGTGAATTACAACTTTTTGTTTAAGAAAATAGTTCAAACATATTATATTTGCTGCTTCAAATTATTTTGATAGGCAAGATATAAATAGTATATTTTTTAAGACAAGGTCTCACTCTGTTGCCTAAGCTGGAGTGCAGTGGCTCGATCACAGCTCACTGCAGCCTCTACCTCCCGGGCTCAAGTGATCCTTCTGCTTTGGCCTTCTGAGTAGCTGGGACTACAGGTGTGCACCACCAAACCCAGCTAATTTTTGTATTTTCTGTAGAGTTGGGGTTTCGTCATGTTGCCCAGGCAGTTCTTGAACTCCTGGGCTCAAGTGATCTGTCCACTTTGACCTCCCAAAATGCTGGGATTATAAGTGTGAGCCACCATGCTCAGCCAAAAACTTTTAAATCTCCTTGAAACAGTGTTTAGATATAAGGCATTGTAGAATAAACATATTTATATCATCACCTGGAATCCAGTGTAAGATTTCAAGGGTTAATAAACTAAAAAAAAAAAAAAAAGCTAAAATACAAACAAAAATTATTTTTTTCTTAACATTTGAAAGGCAAGACAAATTTTTGGGGAGCAGGTATAAAATAACTGTGCCTTCATTCTTTTCTATTCACTTTTTGGCCTAAGCAGATACTAGATTAATTTCAGCTTCTCTTTTATTTCTTTTTATTTTTTTTTTTTTTTTTTTTAACTAGAAACAGTCTTGCTATGCTGTCCAGGCAGATCTTGAACTCCTGGGCTCAAGTAATGCTTCTGCCTCAGTCTCTCAAAATCCTGGGATTACAGGCAGGAACCACCATGCCCTTTTAGTCTATGAATTAAAGTAGAAACCTTTGCTTTTCTTTTTTTCCCAGACTTACACATTTCCACCTTGTGGTGGCTCCTCAGTGACAGAGGGGCCCATGGAGCTATCTTCTCCCTTTTCTAGGGCAATTCATTGGTGATATACATAGGTCATCTTTCAAACCAGGTCCATCTTTTGTACTCTGGCTGTCTTCATTGGTTTCTAGCTTTTCATTTGAACTTAGGTCAGAACCACAGTGAATAATGGAATAATTTGCATTTTCTGAGTTTTGACCTCCATCTAAAGGAAATAAGTCCTGTGGTAAAGGAAAATGGAGGCAGTATGAATGTCTATTCTAGCAGAGAACTCTTTTTTTTTTTTGAGACAGAATCTCACTGTCACCCAGGCTGGAGTGCAGTGGCACAGTCATCACTCACTGCAGCCTTGACCTCCCAGCCTCAAGCGATCCTCTTGCCTCAGCCTCCGGAGTAGTTGGGACTCCAGGCACTCACCACCATGCTGACTAATGGCAGAGGACGCTTAATCACTATGCTATTATACATGATTTTAAGAGCTGTTATTGTTATCACAGAAGTAGCATCATTATTAATTCTCCTACTGTTACTATGACTAACATTTGTTGAATACTTAAAAAACAATAACATACATAATAAATTATTTCAGGCCATGTTTAAGTGCTTTATGTGAATAAACTCAGTAAGTGATAATAAAAATTATCACCCACAATCTTATTTTTTCTTGTCTTTTTTTTTGGAGACGGAGTTTCGCTCGTTACCCAGGCTGGAGTACAATGGCGCGATCTCGGCTCACCGCAACCTCCGCCTCCTGGGTTCAGGCAATTCTCCTGCCTCAGCCTCCCAAGTAGCTAGGATAACAGGCACGCGCCACCATGTCCAGCTAAATTTTGTATTTTTAGTAGAGACGGGGTTTCACCATGTTGACCGGGATGGTCTTGATCTCTCGACCTCGTTATCCACCCGTCCCGGCCTCCCAAAGATTTTTTCTTGTCTTAATTCTCTGTTTGGGCATTTAAACTTTCTTTTGTGCTTTATTTATTTGACTGTTTAAGTATTTAGCTATTTTCTTTGGATATTGATTACTGTGAATTGTTCATGGCCAACCAGTTTCATTTTTATACTTCTTTTTTTTTTTAGGGAGATAAACTTCCCAATTCAGCTGATTGTAAGTCCTCACTCATAGCACTAACTGCTCATAATTGGCTACTTCGTATATCAGCAACTACAGGAAAAATCCTTGAGAAAATATATCTTGGACCTTATTGCAAATTCAGGTATTAACTGCGAGTTTATTATTCAAGATTTTATTTTAAAAATTTGAAACCTGTGGCCCAGGAAATTTCAAGCCTTTTTCCCCTGTCAGTTTTCTAGTCGATATCCAGATCTCAATTAATAAACCTATTTTCTTTTTCTCTCCTCATGACTACATTTAAAGGTCTGAGTATAGAGACCCTCTATCATTTGTCTTTATTTTTTTCTTTTTTGAGACAAGATTTTGCTCTGTCTCCCTGGCTGGAGTGTAGTGGCACGATCTCTGTTCACTGCAGCCTCCACCTATAGGATTCAAGCGAGTCTCCTGCCTCAGCCTCCTGAGTAGCTGGGATTACAGATGTGCACCACCACGTCTAGCTAATTTTTGTATTTTTAGTAGAGACGGGGTTTCCCTATGTTGGCCAGGCCGGTCTCAAGCTCCTGATCTCAAGTGATCTGCCCACCTAAGCCTCCTAAAGTTCTGGGATTACAGGCTTGAGCCACCGTGTCCAGCTGCCATTTATCTTTGTATCCCTAAAAAGTAACTAACCTGTAGTAGCTGGCAAATAAACTTTAAAAAAATTCCCTGTATTCGACAAATAGTATTTTCTATGTAAGATGCACTTTATGGTAAATTTTCCTGAAGACTAGTCTGTTTCAGTTAATTTATTTGATGACTACAATCCAAGAACTGTTATTTTAACTATTAGTTTTATAAATTAGATGTAAATATTTGGAGTGAATATGTTCATGGAATGTGTGAAAGTAACATTTTTAGTGCTTTCCATAACTTCCATTTTAAAGTAGAAATGATTATTTTGTTTTCTAAGTTTTGAATACTCTTAGATCAAAAACAATTTTTACTCACCAATGCTCTAGAAAGATTAAAAGTATATATATATATATTTAAATAGGGATATGTCCATAAAGGGATATAGAGGAAACTTTTTTGGTTATTTATTTTTTTAAATAGATCACTTTGCATTTATAATTTAAATAACTAAAAAATAGTTTACTTATTTTGATTTTAAGTATAAGGAAACTGACCCAAATAAATAAACTTCTCATCATTCTTTTAAAAGATACTTGAGCTGGGACACTCCTCAAGAAGTCATTGCAGTCAAGTCAGCACAGAACAGAGGCTCAGTAGTGGCCCGGCAGGTATATACATTTTTAAACATTCAATAAAATGAATTTTTTTCATAGAAATTTGTCTGCAGATTTGTTATGAAAAAACTAATGATCTTTTATTTCTGAAGCGTGCTATAAAAGTTGATAGGATTCATGGCAACCTGGATGGAATCTGAGACCATTATTCTAAGTGAAGTAACTCAGAATTGGAAAATGAGGCATGTTTTCTCACTCATAAGGAAGAGCTAAGCTATGAGGATGCAAAGGCATAAGAATGATACAGTTTACTTCCACTCAGGGGAAAGGGTGGGAGGTGGTGAGGGATAAAACACTACACATTGGGTCTAGTGTACAAGGCTTGGGTGAGATGTGCACCAAAATCTGAGAAATCACCACTAGAGAACTTATTCATGTAACCCAATACCACCTGTTCCTCAAAAACCTATTGAAATAAAATAATAATAAAAATATTTTAAAAAGAAAAATTGATAGGTAGTTTTTTTTTTTCTGAGGCATGCTATTAAAATAGACTTTTCTCTCTTTCTCAAAGAAATATCCAGGATTTACTAGATTTTATAAAGTCTGCAAATTTATATCAAGAAACTTTTTGTTTCTATTGGTGACTTACGGGGAAATACAATGGAAAGCATTTATTGAGCACTTAAAAAATAGATATAGACTGCTTTTAGGGGTTTCCTGTTTATACACCAGGATACCTAGAAAAAACAAATACTTGCTTTCTGTCTCCCCTGTTGTAGTTCTTTCTCATTTTAAATTTAAATGACTGCAACTTTTTCTCGCTAGTGTCCTTGATTGCAGAATAGGCAGGCACTGATCTGAGTTCTTTACCTGTATTTACTAACTTAATCTTCAGCACATTCCTTACAGTAGATAGTTTCATCATCCCATTTTACAGATGAGGATTCTGAACCCCAGAAAGACTAAGTAACTTATCCAACATCGTAGTGTTGGTAAGTGGTAGAACCTAGACTCAAGCTGAGGCAGTTTAGCTCCAGAGTCCCTGCTCTTAGGTGCTACAGCATTTCTGTAATATGGACTGGCAGGTGAAGTTTATATAGAATTTTAGCATTTAAAAAAAAATTAAGTAGTTCCTCTAATTTTACCTTGTTTAGATAATCACATCAACATCTCCTTATCAACCGTCCAGTGTATTCCCACACACTCCGGGTCTGTGAACTCTGTTTTTCATTCCTCTCTCTTCTCTCTTGTCTACTTTTTCTGTATCCTGCTGAAGCCAAGTAAACTATGTTTTGGCTACTTATACTTACTTTTTATCATGGTTCTCTAAATGTTTTCCTACCCTTTACCAATCCTGCCCAGTCACATTAATAATTGCATGCCTTTTATTGGAATTTCCTTGCCCTTTTCCTGATTTATTTAGTATGACAGCTAAGTAAGAGAGATGTTGTGTCTCTCAGTAATACTTCTCTATACTCTTACTATCTTGCCTTTACTTTGGTAAAGGAAAATTCAGAAAAGTGGGATAGTATAACAAAGTAACAAAATATTTTGCTCCTTTGAGAATTCTAGAAGTGTCTTGTCTAATGTACTTTTTAAATAATTTAAATTGCTAAATATCAATAATATGTTTAATTCTATATGTTATCATATATTAATATTTTACATTTACCATCTGATAATGTTAATAAAAGTCTTGTCAGTGTTTCTGTATTCTGGATTGTTTTCCCACAGTCTCCAGCCAACAATTAGTAGCTCTTAGTTGAGGTATATAAACTGTACTTTTCCTTTGGGTTTAAGGAACACAGAAGGAGTCTGATTTACCTTGAAGGTACTAGTTAATAAAAATTTATCCCTTTCAAAGGGAGAATCTTTTGGGCTTTAAACATTACAATCTTTTTTGTTTGTCATTTGTTTGTTTTCTAACTTTTAGTTATAGCAGTTTTGATTGGTGGTTCCAGCCTTAAAGGGTCTATTGAAGCAGAGACTGCCTGTGATGGGGCAGACAGCTTTACCTCACACAAATTTTTTTAATTCCTTTCAAACCTGTGCTGGAGAAATAAAATAGATTGTTTTACATTTCATAGTGGCAAGAAATTGTCTGGACCTTGTTCTTCAAAGTAAAGGGGGCTATCCTCTTGAAGCAGAAAAGTCACTCAAGCTTTCATTGATGATATTATTTCTTATTTCCTGTAGAGGAGTCAACACAACACTACTTTTATGATATATTTATTTATTTAGAGACAGTGTTTCTGACACTCAGGCTGGAATGCAGTGGCATGATCAGAGTTCACTGCAGCTTCAGGCAAATGGGCCAAAGTGCTCATCTCACATCAGCCTCCTGAGTAGCTGGGACTATAGGCATGCACCACCATGCCCAGCTAATTTTTTTATTTTTTGTAGAAACGAGGTCTTGCTGTGTTGCCCAGGCTGGTCCTGAACTTTTAGCCTCAAACGATCCTCCTGCCTTGGCCTTCCAAAGGGCTGGGATTACAGGTGTGAGCTAGCTGATCCAGCAACTTTCAAATGTTATGACCATGATAACTATATATCTTTTGATCAGGCTCTTTTTTTGTTCAAACTCCAATTCACAATATAAATGCATGGTATTTTATTGCTAAGAGATGTTTACTTCTGTGGATCTTTGTGTGTATGTATGCGCATGTGTGTGTCTGAAGGGTTGAAGCTTTAGTGGACATGTTTTGAATATGTTGCCTTCCTGTTTAAGTAACTTTGCAATCTAGATAGATGGATGTTTTCATAATATGAAAACGTCTGCATAACTGCATGCTAGAACAGATGGATGTTTTCAACTAATGAAGACAGAGTGTTTCTGAAGTGATTTTGAGAGCTGCCTGTAATTTTAGTCTTTCCTTCTAGGCAGGCGTTCAACAACCCATTTTGCTCTACCTTGCAGTGTTCCAAGTTCTACCTTTTTCACTTGTAGGGATTCTAGAGATCAACAAAAAGGTAAGAACTCATTTCTTATTTAATTGCTATATTAATTTTATTGACAATAAGATGTAATGTCATTATTTATTTATGAAATATTTGACTGGAAATGCTCCTTAACTATAAAAAGTTCACTAACCTGGTTTATGTTGTAACAAAACACATGAGAACATTTGACTTGGGACGAGAGCCTACTAATGTCCCTTCGTCTTTTTGTATGTTTTTATGCTTCTCAATTGAATCGTATTGGATATCTGTGGTAATTAACAAACTACTCTCTTATAAAATTACAAAATGAGCGAGGTGTTTTTTTCCCCCAGAGGGAACATCGCACAGCTTGTTAAAATGATCATTAAGGGAAGATGAAAAGTTGCAACAAAATATCACATTTTAATTGCAAGGAATAGGTCTAAAATTTGCTTTATGATATACAACAAGCCTTGTATTTAAATATGTAAATTTCCAGTTAATTCAGTTTTGGGTTTTATTATTGTTTCCATTTGTTCTTGACTTGTGGAGCAGTTATATGGGAAGAAAGAAGGAGCAAATTTCCTTTGAGTAAAAGAATGAGTAGAATTCTACTTTAAAAAAACGTTTGTCTTGGTGAATAGTTATTTATTGAGCTCTTCTACTAGTCTTTAATTCAGCACCTGAAGTATTGTAGAGGACAGTATCTTGAGGATCTACTGATGTTCATAAGCAAACAAGATGAATGTATTAAAATTTTACATTATGTAAGCATTATATACTAAACTGCATAATGACTAAAGAATAATATTAGTTACCCTTTATTGCTTATTTTGTGCCATGCACTTTGAGTATTTTACAACATTTTAACATATATATTTAAGAAGTTAAGCAGCAGTCCCAGCTGCTCAGAAGGTTGAGGCAGGAGAATGGCTTGAGCCCGGGAATTCAAGATTGCACCACTGCACTCCAGCCTGGGTGACAGAGTGAGACTCTAAAAAAATTAAAATAAAAAATACGGCCGGGCGCAGTGGCTCAAGCCTGTAATCCCAGCACTTTGGGAGCCTGAGGCGGGTAGATCACGAGGTCAAGAGATCGAGACCATCCTGGTCAACATGGTGAAACCCCGTCTCCACTAAAAAAAAATACAAAAAATTAGCTGGGCATGGTGGCACATGCCTGTAATCCCAGCTACTCAGGAGGCTGAGGCAGGAGAATTGCCTGAACCCAGGAGGCGGAGGTTGCAGTGAGCCGAGATCGCGCCATTGCACTCCAGCCTGGGTAAGAAGAGCGAAACTCCATCTCAAAAAATTAGAAAAGAAAAAGGAAATAAAATAAAAAGCAGGTACCTAAATCCTAAAGGCGGCAAATAGAGGAGCTAAAATTTGAACCTAAATTTAACTTCAAAGTATAAACCAAATTTTAATATAGTTTGGCTGCTTTATTATAGCACTCATTATTTTAAAATACGTTTGAATTGGCTGGGCACAGTGGCTCACACCTGTATTTTCAGCACTTTGGGAGGCTGAGGCAGTCCAATCCCTTGAGGTTGGGAGTACGATACCAGCCTGGCCAACATGGTGAAGCCCCATTTCTACTAAAAATATAAAAATTAGCCAGGGATAGTGGTGCACGCCTGTAGTCCCAGCTACTCAGGAGGCTGAGGTGGGAGAATCACTTGAATTTAGGAAGTGGATGTTGGCAGTGAGCTGAGATCACACCACTGCACTCCAACTTGGGCAGCAGAGCAAAACTTGATCTCAAAAAATATTTGAATTACACAAGTCTTCTTTTTCTTCTTTTTCTTTCTCTCTTTTTTAAAAATTTTCTTTATCTACATTTTAAAATTTTAAGTTCAGGGGTACATGTACATTATGTGCTAGTTTGTTACATAGATAAACATATGTCATAGGGGTTTGTCGTACAGATTATTTTATCACCCAAGTTTTAAGCCTAGTATCTATTAGTTATTTTTCCTGATCCTCTCCCTCCTCCCACCCTCCACCCTCCACCCTCCAATAGGCCTCAGTGTGTGTTGTTCCCCTCTATGTGTCCATATGTTCTCGTCATTTAGCGCCCACTTATAAGCAAGAACATGGAGTATTTGGTTTCCTCTTCCTGTGTTAGTTTGCTAAGGTTAATGGCCTCCAGCTTTATCCATGTCCCTGCAAAGGACATGATCTTATTCTTTTTATGGCTGCATAGTATTCCATGATATATATATACAACATTTTGTTTACCTAGTCTATCATTGATGGACATTTAGGTTGATTCCATGTCGTTGCTCTTGAGTATAGTGCTGCAGTGAATATATATGTGCATGTATTGTTATATTTATAATAGGATTTATATTCCTTTGGGTATATACCCAGTAATGGGATTACTGGGTTAAATGGTATTTCTGTCTGTAGATGTTTGAGGAATCACCACACTGTCTTCCATAATGGTAAGACTAATTTCCACTCTCACCAACAGTGTATAAGTGTTTCTTTTTCCCCACAACCTTGCCAGCATCTGTTATTTTTTGACTTTTCAATAATAACCATTCTGACTGGTATGAGATGGTACCTCGTTGTAGTTTTGATTTGCATTTCTGTAATGATCAGTGATGTTGAGCTTTTTTTCATGTGCTCCTTGGCCACATGTATGTCTTCTTTTGAGAAATATCTGTTCATGTCCTTTGCCCACTTTTTAATGGGGTTGTTTGTTTTTTTTTCTTTTAAATTTGTTGAAGTTCCTTGTAGATTCTGGATATTGGACTGTCGTCAGATGCATGGATTGCAAAAATGTTCTTCCATACTGTAGGTTGTCTGTTTACTCTGTTGATAGTTTATTTTGCTGTGCAGAAGCTCTTTAGTTTAAGTAGATTCCATTTGTCAATTTTTGCTTTTGTTGCAATTGGCTTTTGGTGTCTTCATCATGCCCATGCCTATGTCCAGAATGGTATTACCTAGACTGTCTTCCAGGGTTTTTATGGTTTTGGGTTTTACATTTAAGTCTTTAATCCATCTTGAGTTAATTTTTGTGTATAGTGTGAGGAAGGGGTCCAGTTTCAATTTTCTGCATATGGCTAGCCAGTTATCCCAGCACCATTTATTGAATAGGGAATCTTTCCCCATTGCTTGTTTTTATCAAGTGTCAAAGATCAGATGGTTGTAGGTGTGCAGTCTTATTAATATTTCTGGGTTCTCTATTCTGTTCCATTGGTTCTATGTGTCTGTTCTTGTACAATACCATGCTGATTTGGTTCCTGTAGCCCTTTAGTATAGTTTGAAGTGGTAACATGATACCTCCAGCTTTGTTCTTTTTGCTTAGGATTGCCTTGGCTATTCAGACTCTGTTTTGATTCCATATGAATTCTAAAATAGCTTTTTCTAGTTCTGTAAAGAACATCAATGATAGTTTAATGGGACTAGCATTGAATCTATAAATTGTTTTGGGCAGTATGGCCATTTTAATGATACTCATTCTTCCTTTCCATGAGTATGGAGTGGTTTTCCATTTGTTTGTGTTATCTCTGATTTCTTTGAATAGTAATTTGTAGTTCTCCTTCTAGAGGTCTTTCACTTCCCCATTAGCTGTAGTCCTAGGTATTTTATTCTTTTTGTGGCTACTGTGAATGGGAGTTTGTTCTTTATTTAACTCTTGGCTTAACTGTTGTTGTACAGGAATGCTAGCAATTTTTGCACATTGATTTTGTAGTCTGAGACTTAGCTGATGTTGCTTATGAGTTTAAGAAGCTTTTGGACGAGACGATGGGGTTTTCTAGATATAGGATCGTGTCATGTGAAACGAGGGATAGTATGACTTCCTTTCCTCCTATTTGAATGCTTTTTATTTGTTTCTCTTGCCTGATTGCTCTGGCTAGAATTTCCGATACACTGTTGAATGGGAGTGGTGAGAGTGGATATCCTTTCTTGTGCTGGTTTTCAAGGGGAGTGACAAGTTGTCTTTTCAAAGTGAGAAACTAGGATCAGTGAATTAAAAAGTCATGAACTAGTCAATGTCAAAGTAAACAATACTTAATCCTTCTAAGAGATGACAAAAGGTAAAACTCATAATTTAATCATTCTCTCTGTGCTTATAGATTAAGTAATTATATGTGCTTAGCAGTCTACAACAGAAATGAACACTTGGCAAAGTCATAAACTGTTTTTGTTTATTCCTGTATGTCCAAGGTAATTGGACATCTTTCTATATTCCTGTATTTCCAAGGTAATTGGACAAGGACATCTTCATTCAAGTAGTTTGTTTTTTATTAAGCTGGTGAATAGTATAAAAATAAGAATAATAGAAAAATATGCAATTTGAGAGATTTGGTTTTGAATATTCTTACTTTGGATTGAAGAACATTTTTCACTTGCTATGCATCAAAGACTATCCTGGGGCTGGGCACCTCCAATTAACTAAAAATTTGTCTCTTTATAAAAAACATTTTAGCATGAAGAATGGGTTCTTGGAAGAATATGAATAATAGATTAAATACTCATTTAGAATGACATGGCCCTGGTGTATGCCAGTGTCTATGAGGATTAGGATTTCTTATTAATAGATATTGACAATGCTATGAAGCAACCGAATGCTAGTGCATCATTCCAAGGGTTATGTGCTACACTTCCATCAATGCTCCAGTTGGAGAATTTACTGCTCACCCCTAATAACACCCTAGCTTCAAGGAGATAAATTATAATTAGGTTTTAATGCTAGGCAGCAGTGTTATAGTAGTGACATGAATATTAAGCAAGAGTGCAAACCACTGTGAACATTTAGAGGGTTGGACTTCCAGTCTTTTCTCAGGTGATATCTGTCTTTCCCCCCACCCCCAGATTTTTGGGAACGTTTCAGATGCTACCTTGTCTCATGGAATACTGATTGTGATGTACAACTCAGGACTGGTCAGACTCTATAGCTTCCAAACCATCGCTGAACAGGTAGAGAAAACTGAAATAATTTGTCATATTACTATTAGCATGAGGTTTCGACTAAAGTATGATTTTTTTTTTTTTTTTTTTAGTGAGATGCTTTTAAAGTAAGGCACTTGTGTAGATTTCAGCTCTAAAAAACTAGAAATCTAGAAAGGCAACGTACGTTTTAAAGCAGTGGTGGGAAAGATAAACAGAGAGGCCATTGGAAAAAGACATTTTCTTTGTCATATACATGTGAATTTTATTTTTGTTCTCTCCAGATAGCAAATAAATAGGTGCTAAAGCCACCATTTTTGTTTTGTTTTGTTTTTAGTTCATGCAACAGAAACTTGACTTAGGGTGTGCATGCAGATGGGGTGGGACTACTGGAACTGTAGGAGAGTCTCCTTTTGGCATTCCTTGTAATATTAAAATCACAGGTATGGCTACTCTATAGTATTTTTTCACCTTAAAAAAATAAGTGGTCATATAAATAGTTATTAATTATAGTCATCCAAATGTTTTTCTCATTTATTTATAAACTCAATTCATTTTACTCCTATATATAATATTCCTTGCTATTCAGTAACAAATAAATATTGAGGAAACTCTATCAGTTATTCATTGAACCGAAGGCCTGGGGATGCTGAGCATTGCTTGTCCAGAGACTTTTAGCAATTCACTTTACTTTTCTGATCCTTGATTTCCTTATCTGCAAAATGAGTTGTAGCAAATGATACCATCTTAGCTTTCTAACAACTTAATATTTTACAATTTGGTGAAATTTACCCTCTTTATAAGAAAGGTGTTTTCCAAGAAAAATATTACCATGCTATCTGAACACAGAGCTCAGACACAGACAGAACTTCCCGGTATACTTAAAGAAGGCCAAAGCACAAAAAAGAAAATTATATAGAATTCTATAAATATAGTAAAAATGTTCTATGTTTAACTAGTTTATCAAATTCAGTTGTTAGAAAAGAAATCAGCTGGCTGAGTGTGGTAGCTCACCCCTGTAATCCCAGCACATTGGGAAGCCAAGATGGGTGGATCACCTGGGGTCAGGAATTCAAGACCAGCCTGACCAACATGAAGAAACCCCATCTCTACTAAAAATATAAAATTAGCTGGGCATGGTGAAGTATGCCTATAATCCCAGCTGTTTGGGAGGCTGAGCAGGAGAATTGCTTGAACCCAGGAGGTGGAGGTTTTGGTGAGCCAAGATTGCGCCATTGCACTCCAGCCTGGGCAACAAGAGCAAAACTCCATCTCAAAAAAAAAAAAAAAAAAAATCAACTATTAGTCAAATTCAATAGTACATTAAAAGAAATAAATCATGACTGTTCAGAGTTCATCTCTGGAATTCAAGGATGGTTTAATGTTTACAAGTTTAGTAGATGTAAAAATCACATGAGTAAACTGAAAAAGAAAATACATTTTTATTATCCTAATATGTCTTAATTCTTGTTCATTAAGAGTCATTCTTTATCATATTGAAGACATTTCCCTTATTTCTAACCAACCAATAAGCGTTATATTTTTAGATGAAACTCCAAAGGATTTTCTAATATATTCAGAATAAGATAAGAATGTTTTTTGTCATTTTTCTTTAACATTGTATTAGTAAAAGGCCAAGAAACAGAAAAGAAAGATGTAATTGTTCAAAAGGAAAAAGATGTCATTTTTAGCAGTAAATGACAAATCATAAAAACTACTGGGAGTTCAAGTATATTCAAGAAGTTCAAAATAAATATTTTTTAAATTACTCAAGTTTTTAGATGCCTTGGACAAACTGAATTAGGCAGTTTTATGAAAATTCAGCCCTAGCAATACCGCCTGTATTCAATACAAATACATTAAAGGAATCTATTAAGAATTTTAAAACTGTAGGCTCTAGTGGTGGTAACCAGGTTATTTGAAATGGGTTATTTTGAACAGTTTTTCCAAATGGTAGCATTATTCTTGTTGAAGTGCAAATAAAAAGTGAGTAAAAGAAAGAACAAAGATGATAAAGACAAAGCACATAGAGCCTGAAGGATTGCCCTGGAGTTTTGTCCCTGTTTGTAGAAAGAAGACTGAATTTGGGATCAGAATCTTAGTCTGCTGACTAGTAGGGGTGACACTGCTACTGATTGGTGGTATGAAGGTGGACAAATTATTGTTATTATTATTTTGAGACAGAGTCTCACTCTGTTGCCCAGACTGGAGTGCAGTGGCAAGATCACAGCTGATTGACATTTCCACCTCTTGGACTCAAGTGATCGTCTTACGTTAGCCTCCCAAGTAGCTGGGACTACAGGTGCGCGCCACCACACCCAGCTAATTTCTATAATTTTTGTTTGGTAGACATGGGGTTTCACTATGTTGCTCAAGTTGGTCTTGAAATCCTAGGCTCAAGCAGTCTGCCCACCTTATCGTCCCAAATTGCTGGACCCGCTCTGCCCAGCTAATAGTGGGCAAATTATTTAACCTCTCTGGGCCTTATGAAAACAGTAAAGTTGTAATCCTGTCTCACTCTTTACACCAAAATAAATAGTGGATGGATCAAACTTTGAAACTTTGAAATAATAATGTTTGAAAACATGATCTATGAAATCATTTCTCATCGTAAAAAAAAATTCAAAGATTTCTGTATGTTTGGCTAAGAAAAGTAGTAAGCTATATTGGAAGCTTTCAGTGTTAATATTGTACAGACTTAAATCCTATTCATTTCTCCAAAATTTTTTTTCAGTCTTAAGGTCTATACAAATAATATTTATTTTAACTTGAAATAATTTTTTTAAATGCAAAAGCAGTTCATTTGCATTATCTAAAAAATTGGGAAATTGGCCAGGTTGGTGGCTTATGCCTATAATCCCAGCACTTTGGGAGGCTGAGGCAGGTGGATCACTTGAGGTCAGGAGTGCAAGACCAGCCTGGCCAACACAGTGAAACCCCATCTCTACCAAAAATACAAAAATTACCTGGGCATGGTGGTGCATGCCTGTAGTCCCAGCCACTTGGGAGGCTGAGGCAGGAGAATTGCTTGTATCCGGGAAGTGGAGGTTGCGGTGAGCCAAGATCGTGCCACTGCACTCCAGCCTGGGCGACAGAGCAAGACTGCATCTCAAAAAAAAAAAAAAGAAAAGAAAAGAATTGTGAAATAAATATAAGCAAAAGAGAAAATGTAAAACATTTATAGTCCTCTTACATGGGGTTAACTGTTATTGCCTTGATGGGTTATTTTCTTATCTTATAATATATATATTTCTATATGTTTAAAACCAAGAAAAGAATTATACCATAATTGTTCTTTCATAACTCACTTGTTAAGAAATCAACTCTCTTGAGGTATAAGTTACAGGTAATTGAAATGTATCCATTTTAACTGTATGGTTTTGAGTTGTGTCAAATGTATACACCCAGGAAATCACCACTACAGTCAAGATTTAGAATCTTTTCGTCATCCCGAAAAGTTCCCCTGTGCCCTTCCCAGTAAATTTCTCTCTTAACCCAGCCCTAGGCAACCAATGATATGCTTTTTTCCACTATAGATTAGATTAATATTTTCTAGAGTTTTATATTAATGAAATCATATGGCATTTTTTTTTTTGGTTTGGCTTCTTTCACTCAGGATATTATATTTGAAATTCATTTCATGTTGCATGTATCTATAGCCTAACCCACTTTTTGATGTTAATATATTATGAATATTAATTTCCATCTAGATTATTTATTAGGTGACCTTATGAAAACAGTAAAGTTGTAATCCTGTCTCACTCTTTGCACCAAAATAAATAGTGGATGGATCAAAGACTTAAAAGTTTTAGAAGAAAACTTGGGAGAATCTTTTTATCTCAGTGTGGGGATGACCTTTTTAAGTATGACACAAAACCCAAAACCATAAAAGAAGATATTGATAAATTTGATTACATAAAAATGAAGTTCTGCATGGCAGAAAAATCCCCAGAAATATACAACATAAACCAACTCAAGTAACAGGGGACATAATTACAAATCGTACTATAATGGGGCAGTTTCCTTAATACATAAAGGGTTCTACAAATCAATAAAAGAGCGATAACACAATTATAAGAGGATCAAAGGATATTGTTCAAAAGAAACAGAAATATAAATGACTTTTAATTAGGAGAGTGCAAAGCTCAATGACACTGATAAGAGAAATGTAAATTAAAATTATTATACATCTCAAGATTATTAAATATCAGAAGTTAGAGCTTTTGATACAATATGGTTGGTAAAGGTTTAGAATAGCCACTTTCATTTATTGTTAGGACCCTTTATTTGGAATTTGTCAATATGACATTTTGTTAATATGTATCAAATTTTAAAGGCATGATGTACTCCTTGATCCCAGCAACTCCAGTACTAACAGTTTATCCCAGATATATTCACTTGTATAGAAAGTGATAAATGTACAATTAAAACATTGCTTCTAATAGCAAAAGATTAGAAACAATGTATACATTGGTAAGTGACACTAGTATTAATATATCATTGTATAGCTGTATCCTAAATTTAATTGCTAAATTGTTAAAAAGAAAGAGGAGTTTTAGCCAGGAATGGTGGCTCATGCCTGTAATCCCAGCACTTTGGGAGGCCAAGACTGGTGGATCACTTGAGGTCAGGAGTTTGAGACCAGCCTGGCCAACATGGCGAAACCCTGTTTCTATTAAAAATCCAAAAATTAGCCAGATGTGGTGGCATGTGCCTGTGATCCCAGCTACTCAGGAGGCTAAGGCACAAGAATCTCTTGAACCCAAGAGGCAGAGGTTGCAGTGAGCAAGATTGTGCCACTGTACTCCAGCCTGGGCGATGGAGCGAGATTCAAAAAAAAAAAAAAAGGAATTCTTTTTGCACTGGTATAGAATAATTTCCAGGATGTATTATTAAGTGCAAAACTGTGTATATAAAAATCCTAATTTGTGAAAAGTATTCATATTCGTGTATTAAAGGACCATATATGGTGATATGCTTTTGGATTTGCTTGGTATATCTGAAAGGACACATAAAAACTTGATGAATCATTTTATCGGAAGAGATACAGGTCAAAGGAAGACTTAGTTTTCATTATATATTCTGCTACTTTTAAAATGTAGTGCTTGTATTACCTGTGCCAAAAAGTGGTTCTGTGTGTGTGTGTGTGTGTGTGTGCATCTCCTTGAGGTGTTAAGAACTTGACCTATGTGCCATTTTACAAATGAACCTTAATTTACTTAATCAGTTCCCTACTTTGGACATTTAGTTTGTTTCTAATTTTGTGATTACAAATTGCATACGAATATTTTGTAACCATTAGTGATCCTTGCCTGAATCAGTTATGTCATGTGAGTTGCAGAATGGCAGTTTTTAAAATTCTGTTACTCCTTTTACCTTTAATAGCTGGCATTTTTCTAGAAATAAAAGCTTTAATTCATCAACTAGAGATAAACTGTAATTCCTTACAAAAGGCAAGATAAAGTCTTATTTCTTCCATTTAATTATCAACATTCGGAGCAAGGAGTTAGTATAATAGTCACTTTTGATGGTGGCAAAATGTTTTACAGATAAACACACGTATGTAAACGCAATAGTCTCATGGATTTTTATTTGTCAAATATTATATACTAAAGTTACTATTCTTAGCGATGCTCAAATTGTCCTGAATTTGGCAAATAGAAACTCCATTTTGACACACCCCAGTAATCTTAGAGAATTTCCTCACTTTCCAGAACAATAACGTGTCGCAAGCTTACCTTTTACTTTCCTATTTCTGACAGGGAGCCGTTGTAGTAGAGAACATCATTAGAGACTATCAGTTTCCTAGAGAGTAACACTACAAACTGGGCAGCTTTAAACAATGGCAATTTAGTCTCTCACTGTTCTGGAGGCTAGAAATTTGGAATTAATGTGTTGACAGAGGTAGCCTCCCTCTGAAGACTCTAGGGAAGAATCCGTTCTTACTTCTAGCTTCTGGTGGTTGCTCGCAATCTTTGGTGTTACTTGGCTTGTGGCAGCATAGCTACAGATTCTGCCTCTTGCGTTTCCATGGACTTTCTCCCTGTGTCTTCAAATATTTTTCTCCTTATAAGGAATGATCTTAACTTGATTATATCCACAAAGATCCTGTTTGCAAATAAAGTCACATTTACCAGTACCAAAGGTTAGGACTTGAACATATCTTTTGAGGGAACGCAAAACAACTCACAACAGAGACCCAGATCTAGTTGTGTTCATTGCAGTTGGATATCTTTACTTTTAGGTCCTTTTAATGAACAGAGCTGAAAATTACATTAAAACAAAAATTCATTAACTCATTTTCATATTTCCAAATTTATCCATTCTTTTTAGATTTTATATTTGTATTTTTTTAACTCATACTGAACTTATTGATTTCTAATAAAACTTTATCCTACAGTATACATATGATAGTCTTAAAATTGCAGTACCGGTGTTACTACTAAGAACTAAAGTATGGGCCAGGTGCGTTGGCTCACACCTGTAATCTCAGCACTTTGGAGGCTGAGGTGGGTGGATCACTTGAGGTCAGGAGTTCAAGACCATCCTGGCCGACACGTTGAAACCCCATCTCTACTAAAATTACAAAAAATTTAGCTGAGTGTGGTGGCATGTACCTGCTGTAATTCCAGCTACTCGGGAGGCCGAGGCAGGAGAATCACATGAACACAGAAGGTGGAGGTTGCAGTGAGCCAAGATTGTACCACTGGACTCCAGCCTGGGTGACAGAGTGAGACTCTGTCTCAAAAAAAAAAACAGAACTATGGATTGAAGGTTAAGACTCTCCTACAGTTTCTTTTCTCCTTAGTATACAGCCCAGTAAGCATATACATGGAGTGATGTGTTAAAAGACAATTTGAAATCATTTTTCTGTAGGATTAAGCTACCAGCATGATTTAATTAGATTCGTTTGTTTGATTTTATTTTCGATTTTGGGGTTTGCTGTTTTCTTTTTCAGTTTATTCTTGAAGTTATAAAGTGTATATATAGTTGAAAGATCGAAGCTGTATAAAAAGACATACTCTGAGAATTTTTTTTCCTTTTTTGTTTTGTTTTGTTTTGTTTTGTACTGTCACCCAGTTTGGAGTGCAGTGGCATGATCTGAGCTGACTGCAACCTCCACCTCCTGGGTTTAAGTGATTCTTCTACCTCAGCCTCCTTGGTAGCTGGGACTGCAGGTGCACACCATCATGCCTGGCTATTTTTTTTTTTTTATTATTCTTAGTAGAGGTGGGGTTTCGTCATGTTGTCCAGGCCGGTCTTGAACCCCTGACCTCGGGTAATCTACCCTCCTCAGCCTCCCAAAGTGCTGGGATTATAGGCATAGGCTACTGTGCCCAGCCCCATTTTCTATTTCATTGCTTTCTGGTTTTATTTTTTATTCTTTTCTTTAATCCTGTTACTCCCATCAATAACCATTGTTTTTAGATTCTGGTTTAGCTTGCTCTTGTTTCTTTTTGCAAAAATAAGCAAATGTGTGTTTGTATACTTTTAACATTTAATCTTCTTTCTTACATCAAATATAGTATATTATATCCTTTATTCTATACCTTACAATTTTATTTCACATGTATCTAAATATTTTTCATTTTTTTATTTTTAGTAGAAATGAGGTTTTGCCATGTTACCCAGGTCTCAAACTCCTGGGCTCAAGCAATCCACCCAACTCAGCCTCCCACAGTGCTGGGATTACAGGCATGAGCCACCACACCTGCCCAAATTTTCAAAGTAAATATTTGGTAGAAGAAATATGTAAGGTTAATTATCCCCTACATTAAAAATTTCTAGAAAAATATATTGTATTACAGTGTAGCCCTTCTTCTTTGATAAATAATAGTTATTTTGTACACTTTACATTAAAATCGTCTTTTAAAGTATTATTGTTTGACTTTTCACAGACTCATAGTATTTTAATTAATCATATTTATTTTCTTTTTAAGGCCCCCTTTTTTCACAGTGTGGCAAGTGGAAGAAGCCCTTTTGCTGGCTCTCCTACTCTTAACACTACCCTCTGATATCCTTGTAAACATCCTTGCATTCTCGAAACAAGGGATAGTTCACACCTATCCTAAAATTTTCTCACCACAAGACGCGGAATCAGCTACACTGAGAACTTTTAGGCCTTTTTCATTAAGAATAATATTAGAGATCAAAATTGGTGTTCTTAGGTTAGCAGGGCACGTCAGAGTTGTGGGCAGGGTAATATTGCTACTTTTGGGTCATTTTTTGCAGTTGCTGGGAAAAGTATTTCTTTCTAAATACGTCTGTTTCTACAGATTGTTTTCTCTATTTTGAATAACTATTTCATATTCTCTATAACATACTTAGTTGATTTTGAGCCCCAAATTCAAACTCTAATTGTATGCTTTTCTTTTAATAATAATTCTCTTCTTCACCATATCATCACATACAATGTTTGTATTTCTCTTATAATTTACCAACTCATGCCTTTCATACAGTTTTCTACTGGGGTGTTTATACTTTTTATTGCTTAAAAGGATCTTTATATATTAAAGATACTACCCTTTTCTTAAAAGGTTAAAGAAAAGCACTTGACATATATTTTATATGTTTATACCTGTCTCTTCTTTTTCCTCAAGATTGTTTGTGAGCTACTTTTTATGAAAGTTGACCCTTAACGCAGGTTGGAACTGCACAAGTCCACTTATATATTTAAGAATAGATATATTATGCTTTACTTAAAGTTGTGATGAAAGAAGAAGACTAAAAAGCACCAACAGAAATTTACTTTACAGGGTCAGACTTCAAAAGAAACAGACTGGATATATCTGAACTACCTTAAAGTTAACTTGTCTGATGGTAATAGTAGTAATAGTGACTATCCTGTAATAAAGCTTTCATTGTGGCAGACCCTATCCTAAGTGGTTGCATTCATTGTGACTGATACTGTCTCTGTACTAGAAATCTTAAGCAAGATAGATGTATATCTGAGAGTATGCCTATTAGTCCAGAATGTGGAAGATATCTTTTTCACCTTTGAAGGAATTATTAGACCTAATTATCTTATTGGATTATTATGAGAGTTGGAAATAGTATTTAACCCAGAGTCTTTTCCATAGTAGATGTTCAGTAAATGGCAGCTACTTTTATTAAATGTACTTTGTCATTCCTTACCATCATAAACACCTTTAGCCCAGTTTTAATCTCTGCTCACATGCAGGCCACATATACCTACCCTGAAAACAAATGCCTGGGAAATTGATTCAGCCTAATTTTGGTTCTGACTAGCTTTTTCTTTTCTCACAATAAACTCCTTACCTGATTGTATTTTATTTTCTAGAACATAGTAGTTTTTCATTAGGAGAAATTAATAGATGTTGCATGCAAAGAAAGGTTGAATTTAGTTAATGAATAGTCCAGAGGCCCCAGGACAGTGCAGCTAATGAATTCCTTTTCCTGTCTCTACAGACACACCACCACTGCTCTTTGAGGTGTCATCCCTGGAGAATGCTTTTCAGATTGGAGGCCATCCTTGGCACTACATCATTACACCTAATAAGAAGAAACAGAAAGGAGTTTTCCATATTTGTGCCCTAAAAGACAATTCCCTGGTAAATGAGTGATCAGACATTTTAGTAGCAAATTTGTATCAAATTATTTATTTTCTGCCTCTTGAATAGGCCCACATTCCTCAGAATTACTTTTTTCTGCATTTGTTTTAATAATTTGTGAACAATTTATAATACAGAAGAATACAGACCATATAGCAAACATTTGTGTGTTTGACCCATAATTTTAAAACATTAACATTTGAGGATTCTTATGGCACCAAGAATTTTATATATTTTTTTTAATCTCACCAATCTCCCAGGAAGGGATCTCAGGTAAAACCTCTCCACAGTGGGAATCACTGATGGAATGTGTTCAAGTTGCTTCTGAAATTGCTGGTGGAATGTATTGTTGGTTCTGCTTCTCCGTGGTTTGTTTCTCTTTGCCTTCCAGAGCAGAACCAGATGGAACTTTGGTGGTGACACTGTATGTAACTGAACCACTTTGAATTTTTAAGGCAGAGTAGGTAGAAATGGTACATAGTAAAATAATGGAAATTTCTACTGTTTGAATTCAGTTTTCCTTTTTAAAATGGCTTAGGCATTGATTTGTCATTTAATAAACATTTATTGAGGGCCTACCATGTGCCAGACATGACTAAGGACACAGTCTCTTCCCTCAAGTTATACTCTCAAAGCAAACATGTAGAAAAACAATATGCAGTGGATTAAGTACAGTGATTGTGGTAAGTGCAAAAAGTGAGTTGGGAGGAGTTCCATTTTTGTTTCGTATTGCTGATTATGTTTTCTGTTGGTTAGTTTGTTTTTTGAGACAGGATCTCACTGTCACCCAGTCTGGAGTTCAGTGGCACAGTCATAGCTCACTGTAGCCTCAACCTCCTGGGCTCAAGTGATCCTCCTGTCTCAGATGCCTGAGCATTACAGAAAAATCATTCAAGCTTTCATTGTTGATACTTTTTCTCATTTCATATAGATGTGTCAGTGTAACAAACACTACTTCCATTTTATATTTATTTATTTAGAGACAGAGTTCCATTCTTGCCCAGCCTGGAGTGCAGTGGCACAATCAGAACTCACTATAGCCTCAACCTCCTGGGCTCAAGTGATCCTCGACCTCAGCCTCCCAAGTACCTGGGGCTACAGGACCGCACCACCATGCCTGGCTTGCTTTTTATTTTTTGTAGAGATGGGAGTCTCACTGTGTTTTGCAGGCTGGTCTTGAGCTCCTGGCCGCAAGTGATTCTCCCTCTTGATAAATCAGAAGAATTTGCGGCTTTTTTGAGGCAGGTTCAGCTTACATTACACTCATGTCTCCAGAGCTTGCTTAATCAGTCACTGTTGGCTCCAGTGGCTTTAGAGTCACAGATTGTCTTTCACCATGTTGCAGATCACCTTTTACCATGTTGCAAGTCAGCATAGTGTTGGGTCCATTTATCCACTTCCCTTGATTTCATGGCCATCAGGGGACAATGCCTATAGTGTCTTCCCGTTTTCTTTTGTAGGAGCATTGTTCCCTTATATTTTTTTAAATATTTACCACATGGCAGCTCCTATTTGGCCCAGCCCAGTGACATTCTCTTTTATAAAAGACTCTCTAAGGGCTGTTTTCCACTGTGACAAGTCTTGGTTTGATTGGCCACCTCCCAGCCAGTGGACATCATTCAGCCACCAGGACCTGTCACATCTCTTTTTCACTTAACTTTACATCTAGTGAATTCCTGCACAGTTCATATTCTGGACATTTAACACAGATCCTTTTTTATAAGAACTGATAATCCTATTATTTCATACACAAACACACACACACATACAGCTTCCCTCTATACCCATGGATTCCACATCCGTGGATTCAACCAACTATGGATTGGAAATATTCAGAGAAAAAAAGATGGCATATGGGATGATGTGCATAGATTGTATACAAATACTGCACCATTTTATATAAGGTGCTTGGGCATCCGTGGGTTTTGGTATTTGTGAGGGGTCCTGGAAGCCATCCCCTATGGTTTCCAAGGAATGACTTCATATCTAGATAATGGCCTTCAATGTGTATATCAAGCATGCTTGTCACATACTCTCCTTCTATAATAACTGATTGTAACATTTATCCAAATCTATATTTCAGCATACTCTTAAATAACTGCCAAATCCAGGGGAAGTTTTTAGTCCTTTTAGTGAACAGTTTTATGACTGTGACATTGCCTTAATGACTCATATACCTATTAACTCCCCACCTGTTAATCCAAAGAGTAGATACCTAAAAAACATATAAGCAGCCAAACTTAAGATTTCAGAAAATGTTTCATAGCTTACTCTATTAAACTGAGTTTTCAAATCTAACATTTGAGCAAATAATAAAAACAATAGAAGCTAGTAATAAACTGCCTAGTATTTCAAAGATCTTTTTTTTGCATGTTCTAATTAGATATTACAGTAAAGAGAACAATCTAAAAAAAGAGATGTATAGTATATACATATTTTGTATAAAACAAGCGTCTGGAGCTAATACCATCATGGACATATTAATTTCAGTGGTTACAATCAACATATTTATTTACTTTAATTTTCTTTTATGTAAAATATACTAATGCCACTATTAGATATAATTAGGATTCTTGTAGAAATTCTCAAAAAATTGAAATTCATAAATTTGATACTTAAAATGTATTATATTCCAAAAATTTAAAAATCATGAGGCCAGGCACAGTGGCTCACCCCTGTAATCCCAACACTTTGAGAGGCCTAGGCAGGCAGATCGCTGAGCCCAGAAGTTCAAGATCAGCCTGGGCAACATGGTGAAACCCCATCTCCACAAAAAATACAAAAATTAGCTAGGTGTGGTAGTGTGCACCTATGGTCCAAGCTACTTGGGAGGCTGAGGTGAGAGAATTGCTTGAGCCCAGGAGATCAAGGCTGCAGTGAGCCGAGATCACACCACTGCACTCTAGCCTGTGCAACAGAGTGAGACCCTGTCTCAAAAAATAAAAAAATAAAAATAAATTGTAGCATACAAAGCACTTACAATATAACTCCTCCTACCTTTCCAGTCTCATGGCTGGATATTATACTTTACTATTTAAATTGTATCTGCTACTCATGTTTATGTGCATGAGTATGTGTTTATGGATTCACTTCTATAATTTTGTTTTGTCTGTTTTGTTTTGAGACAGGGTTTCACTCTGTCACCCAGGCTGGAGTGCAGTGGCACGATCTTGGCTCACTGCAACCTCTGCCTCCTGGGTTCAAGCAATTCTCCTTCCTCAGCCTCCTGAGTAGCTGGGATTACAGGTGCATGCCACCATGCCGACTAATTTTTGCACTTTTAGTAGAGATGGGGTTTCACCTTGCTTGCCAGGCTGGTTTCAAACTCCTGACCTCAAGTGATCCGCCTGCCTCAGCTTCCCAAAATGCTGGGATTACAGGCATGAGCCACCACCCTTGGCCTATTAACACTTACATATTTTTTACTTTACTGTCTCTTATTTGTAGCTATTTTCTGCTTATCCCTAAGGCTCATTTCAACCTTTTTTTAACTCCCAAAATTCTGCTCACTTGGGTTGAGTGCTTGATAATTAATAATCTGGTGCATGGCTCAATCACTTATTGAGCCACTGCCTTATTATTTTTTGTTTATGTTTCTGCCTCCCCCCAGGCTATAAGCTTCTTGATGACAAAGATTATGTTTAATTTATGTGAGGTCTGAATGCCTATTCCGATACCTAGAACATAGTAACCTATCGATATGTGCTAATGGAATTTAAAAACTTTAGTGTTACAAAACTCATAAATATCTCGTAGGAAATATGGCATCATTCATTTTACATTAGAGAAATTAAATTAAATGACTTCTGTAAAGCCAGTGAAGTTAATATATACAAATTGGCATTCATTCCCAGTACTCTTGAATATAAGGTAAAACATTTGTGTACACGTGTTAACATAACAGATGGTTTTTTCTTTATTTTAATATCTAAATATACTACACTGAAATCTCTTCTTGCCTTAAAAGCTAAGCAGTATGAGATCATTTCCTTAGATATTAGAGCAACATTTGACTTATCTAAGATTTTATGACCCATCTCTGAGACTTTAGGTTTCTTTACATGTTCATTTTTTTGTTATCTGCTCTTCTGATTGAAAGATAGTTGGATATAGGAAGAGAGAAGACATTGTGGAGAAATGCATTTGCATGATTATGGCAGAGTTATATAATAGAAAGTCCATGGGTTTTGGAGTCAGAACTGCTGTTTCGTAAGTTCAAAATACTGAACAAGGCCAGGTGCAGTGGCTCACATGTGTAGTCCTAGCAGTTTGAGAGGCCAAGGTGAGAGGATCACTTGAGGCCAGGAGTTTGATATCATCAGCCTGGGCAACATAGCAAGACTCTATTTAAAAACGCACACACCAAAAAAACATTGGGCAAATGATTTACTCTCTTTGTGTGTCAGTTTTCAATACTTCTTTGAATGTTATTAAGATCAAACAAAACAATGACTATAAAGCATCAAATGCAGTTCTTGACACAAAGTAGATGCTTGTGAGATATGGTATCTCTTGTGTTATTACTACTCTGTGTGATGTATAAGGTATGTTACAGAGCAAATCCATTACATTTCTGAATTTAAATATTCAGAATTTCTCAAATTTGCATGTCCTCATTTGGCCCTCAGATATATTCCACTTTAACTGGTTAATATTTTTTCTTCCCTGTACCTTTGACCAACTGATCTATCACTTGGGTTAGATTTTTTTAAGTATTTGATTTTTCCCTTTATCTTTGTCTTCAATATTTTTTTCCAACTTCAGGCAAAAAATGGGATCCAAGAAATGGATTGTTGCTCTCTAGAATCTGACTGGATCTATTTCCATCCTGATGCTTCTGGTAGAATAATACATGTTGGCCCAAATCAAGTCAAGTGAGTAATCTCATTAGCACTTGAAAGTCAAGAGCAGCTTTTGGTAGCATTTATTGGCATCTTTATTTTTGCCAGTGAACTAGTGAGCCAATTAATGGAAATAATTAGCTTGTTGTTGGGTGCTTCCTCAGAGACCGGCATATAGAAAACCTGACTTTAGTCTTTCGGCCTCAACAATACTGTTTGTAAGCATTAGATTTGAATAAGTTATTTGATGGATGATATGTGAGTAAAAGGGAATTACAGACTGACCCTTTCTCATCAGGTCTTAATTAATTCTCTAGGATTAATAAGAAATAAGATTGTTTGTTCTGAAAGGCAGCCTTGACACAGGAAAGGTAGTGGATTGTTTGAAGTAAACCTTGTTTTATTTTTATTGCTTTCAGGGCACACACATCTCCCACAAGCTGACCTCTCTTTTCCTTAAACACTTTTCATTTGACATTCCCGACATCACAGTCCAGAATATTTTCCTCTTTTATCTATCTTTTTTAGTGCTTTCGTACTCTTCTTTCTCTATCCAGCCTTTAATTGTTGGATGTCCTCAGTCGGGTCTTAGGCCCTCTTCTCTTCTCACTCAGTATTTCCATTCTGCATGATTCTATTTATTCCCTTGGCTTCAAGATCATGTATACGTGAGAACTCCAAAATTTATATACTAGCCCAAACCGCTCATTTCAACAAATTCCAGAAATCTTGAATCATTCTTGATACCTTCTTACCAATTTGTCTTTCATCAGTGTGCATACATTTAAATACTTACATGCATTCTGTTTCTCTCATACATACACACCATATATCTTCTCAATCCAGTTTATTTTGCTACGAATTATTTGTTAAATCTGCCTATTTCTGCGCTTGGCCACTATTATCGTCTTGGTCAGATCACTGTCATCAGTAGCCTAGGCTACAGTAATAGCTCACTCCAGGGCTCCAGGATCCACTCTTGCACTGTTTTCTTCTTAACAGCTAGCATGATTTTTAAGAACATGAAGAAATACAAAAAAATATGCAAGTGAATTCTAGTGCTTTACCCTTTTTATGGCTTTTCATTGCTCTTAGGATAAAAACCAACACAGTTAGCATGGTCCAAAAGACCCTCCTCCAACTCAGTTTACTCTAGTCATGCTGCCTTTTCGGAAAACTGAGGGCCTGTTCCCTCTGTTTGGAGTCTGTTTCCCCTACCTGTTCTCCTGTCTAATTTCTATTCATATTTTATGGCCCAGTTTCAATGTCACTTTTCCACAGACCTTCTCTGATGGCCCTTGTTAGTTAGATTTGCTTGCCCATTATATTTTCATTACCCCCGCTGTGTCATCTTCCTTTGCAGCACTTAGAGCAACTTAATTATTTTGTGATTATCTGCTTAAATACCTTATTTTGGTATTATAGAGTCTATGATGACAGGGAAAGAGCCTATAACCCCAGCACTAAGCATAGTCCTTGGCACAGAGTAGATGCTCAGTAAATATTTATTAAATAAGAAGAGAAGTGGCTGGACATAATAGTTTAGGCCTGTAATTCTGCACTTTGCGAGGCCAAGGCAGGAGGATCCCCTGAAACCTCCTGCCTTGGCCTCCCAAAGTTTGAGACAGCCGGGGCAACATAGTGAGACCTCGTCTCTACAAAAAATAAAAATAAAAAATAGCTAGGCATGAGGGTGGGCAATCATCATACGGTCCTAACTCCTCAGGAGGCTTCGACAGGAGGATCAGCTCAGCCCAGGAGTTCAAGGCTGCAGTGAGCTGTGATTGTAGCACTGTACTCCAGCCTGGGCAACGGAGTAAGACTCTGTCTAAAAAAATTAAAAATAAAGAAGGGAAGTGTCTGCCTTCTTTATTTTTTATGCTTCATGGTAATCAGTCTACCTCTCTGGATCTATTATTAATATAAGGAAGATGAAAGGGATTTAATAAAATAAGATTATTTATTTTTACACCTTTTTTTTTTTTTTCTTTTTTTAAATTTTTTTAAAGATGGGGTTTCACCATGATGGCCAGGCTGGTCTTGAACTCCTGACCCACCTTGGCCTCCCAAAGTGCTAAGATTACAGGCGTGAGCCACCGTGCCCGGCCCAATTTTTACACATCTTAAGCTGTGGTTCTGCTTCAGTAAGCCTTACTTTTAATGTTTGTTACCACCCATATTAGTTTGAACTTAAGAAAACAAGGCCCACAAAGAGTGTATGGCCTTTTGCCAGGTTTTAAAAGATTAGCATTTAAAAATATTGTCACTAATTGAGAAAGCTAATTTAAATTATTGATCTCTTTGTCTTCAGAAATTCTGAGGCCTCCAACACTCTCTGGCCTGTAGCTGCTTCTCTCTGCTGTTTTTTTTTTCTGCATTTGAGGCTTTGAGCTTGTAAAACATTGTGCTTTCGAAGTTTGTTAATGATGTGAACAGATTTCTGTGGGTGGTGAGCAAATTATTTTATTTTCTCTTGCTTAATAGGCTTGATCCTTAGCTGGGCATGGTGGCGCATGCCTGTAATCCCAGCTACTCAGGAGGCTGAGGCAGGAGAATTGCCTGATCCCAGGAGGCGGAGGTTGCAGTGAGCCAAGAGCACGCCATTGCACTCCAGCCTGGGTAACAAGAGCGAAACTCTGTCTCAAAAAGTAAATAAATAAATAAATAAATAAATAAATAAATAAATAAATAAAATTGCTTGGTCTCAGGTATGTGTTTATCAGCAGCATGAAAACAGTCTAATACAATATTCTTCTACTTTTCCATAATGGTTGTGTTATAATTTTATATCATTTTGACTATGTAAATATATTCTAAATTTGTGATATACAGTAATCTGAATTTTTAATCTCTCTTCATGTAACTATTTTTTTTCTACCTGGTGTTAACAGTTGACCCTTTTCTTGGTTTGTCCATATTTCTATGTACTTACCATTAAATGGTTTCCAATGCATTGATGAATATATAGTCATACATTAAAAATACTTTATAATGATCAAAAAAAAAAAAAATAGGCTTGATCCATGAGGCCACTTGCATTCAAAAAGTTCAAATCTTTAAATATGATCAATCCTAAGAATAAACAGTATTTTCAGTTGTTTTTAAATATTACTCTATCATGAAAACTCTTAGTTTTGATTTATTTAGGTATATAGATTTCATTGCTGATTGAATTTCTTTATAGTTAACCCTAAGTGTTGGTCATAGATAGCTCATTCTACTTCAGAAATAAAAATGCAAATATCTGTTATTATTCTTAGAGCTGAAATGTTAGAGACCTGTTATAGTATAGCAGAGACAAGGTTCTTAAGAGTAACTTTCATTAAGCCAGTTTGGAAAATAGCTTAGGCCTGAGCAAGCTGATTCATTGCTTACTTCAGTAGCAACTGTTGTCACAGTTCCCACGTTTTTCTGTTTAACAGAATCTCTGACTTTGAAGGAGTTCATGGACGTTTAGTGATCACATATTAGTATTGCAGACTAATCAAGAGAACCACCTCAGTGTTGTACTATAATTTTTATTTGTTGAGTTTTATTTCAATACTTAAACTTTGGCACTTTGATAATGTTTTGAAATCTTAGGTTCTCAAAATTTTTTTCCTTCTTAGAGTTTTGAAGCTAACTGAAATAGAAAATAATAGTTCTAAGCATCAGATCTCTGAAGATTTTGTCATTTTGGCCAACAGGGAGAACAATAAAGTAAGTAAGAGTACTTTAAAATCCTTTGTATATCATTGTCTTTCTACATAAGAATATAATATGCTAATATATTTGCCTTTGAGTGTAGCTGGAAACAACAGCACAGCCCTATAAAAGTCTGTGCATTTTGTCTACATGAGTAGCCAGTTTTAGCCCCAGGTACATTTGAGATTGAAGAAAGTTGACTATATTGAGTTTATCTTTTGCTGATTTCTGTTTTCTTTCTTAATTTCTTTTTTTTATTGATGAATTGTCAACCTTTGGGTCTAATTACTTGTGCAACGTTAAATTTAATTAGTGTATATATAAATCTTTAAAAATCACATACCATACTTTAACTCCATATGGTACTTTTTCCTTTAGTGTATAAATTAAGAACACAAAGAAAATTATGGGGAGGGCAATTTCTAAAAACATATCCACTTTTTATTTGCTGTCCTGTATACTAACGCAAAAGCCAGGTGAATGAGGCAGCTAATCTCTAATCTTTTAAATAACTGATTTTTTGCCCATTCTGGTGTTTTAGCCATTAAAAACTTTAATAAAGTATTTTTGGGCCAGGCGTGTTGCCTCACACCTGTAATCCCAGTACTCTGGGAGGCCAAAGCAGGCAGTTTGCTTGAGTCCAGGAGTTCGAGACCAGGCTGGGTGATGTGGTGGAACCCTGTCTCTACAAAAAAATAGAAAATTAGCCAGGCATGGTGGCATATATGTGTGTATATGTGTGGGGTGGTGGGGGGGTATTTTTTTTTTTTTAATTAAATGGAGGATCAGAAATCTGATTCAGAATTTTCTCAGTTGAGGAAAGAATTGTGGATGTGGGAAAAGGGTTAGTAAGTTTTACCAAATTTGTTAATGCAATTTTGCCTTTGACCACATGTAATGGAACTTCTAATATCTTTTTATTTCTCTCCATATGATAGAATGAAAATGTACTCACTGTTACAGCTTCTGGACGGGTGGTAAAAAAAAGTTTTAACCTTCTGGATGATGACCCAGAACAAGAGGTATTGCTTTGGCCAGAGATGACAAAACAAACCAGTGTGTCTTTGCATTGTGAATTTCATATTAATACTTCCCATGCCCTGGGGTAGAGGTTGGGGGTGAAGAGTTCCAAGCAGGCCAGTTGGGTAGGGTTGTGCATGCTATTTCAGCCAGTGCAACCTAACCATTCTCTCCTTTCATATTGTAATTATTCATAAAGTTTTATTTGCAGAAAAGTTCATAGGACCAAAATAATTTGAAAACACTATTAACTTACTGTTTTGTTTTGTTTTGTTGATATGTATATTTTCTAGGAAAATCTCTTCATGGAAATTTCTTGAGTTACATCCTGATGACTTTATGGTTTTTGCCTTTTTTTACTTGCTAGACTTGAATACGTTTGTTAATGTCCATGGGCCAGAGGAAGAGGACATAAGTGCATGATAAATCAGTTCAACTGTTATCTTCAACTTGGCTTTACCAGTCACTGAGCTAATACATTTTTATCCTTTTCCTTTAAACAGGCATTGGTTAACTGATAGTGATCATGCTTTAAATATTTAAACCGTTGTATAAATTCTAAATCTATTTAGCCTATCTAACTATATTATTTGTGTGATCATTTTTAGGTAGAACCATTAGAGTGGCCTTCTCAGGACAGTTTTTGAACTTCTTTTAAAATAGGTTAGAGGTGGCCTAGTATGTAGCTATTCTCAAAAAAGAGGTACTACAAATTATTATTTTGGACTATACAAACCTATTGAGAACAATGAAGAAAGCTACATGCTCTGCATATAAAACTATATTCCAGAAAGATGTACTAAACTTTCCAAAAGGTAGCATAAGTCATTTAGAGGGGAAAGGTGGTGGCAAAAAGAAAGATGCTTTAGGCCGGGCGCAGTGGCTCAAGCCTATAATCCCAGCACTTTGGGAGGTTGAGGTGGGTGGATCACGAGGTCAAGAGATCGAGACCATCCTGGTCAACAAGGTGAAACCCCATCTCTACTAAAAATACAAAAATTAGCTGGGCATGGTGGTGTGCGCCTGTAGTCCCAGCTACTCAGGAGGCTGAGGCAGGAGAATTGCTTGAACCCAGAAGGCGGAGGTTGCGGTGAGCCGAGATCATGCCATTGCACTCCAGTCTGAGTAACAACAGCAACACTCTATCTCAAAAAAAAAAAAAAAAAGAAAGATGCTTTGTATCATGAGATTAAAAAACAAAATCTTTTAGCCTGTAAAGGAAAAGTTTGAAGAAATCACGACTAAAATCTATAAAATCACTGGCACCAAGGCAAGAAGTCACCCTTTGAAGTTTAACCATGGTAAGGTGAAGGCAAAAAGGAAATAAAGCAAAAGTAAATTTCAAAAATCCCAGCTAATAAATCCATATAAATTTTTATGTCTTAAGGTGTAAAGGCAGAAAATGTCAATTGATTAAAGAGTAGTTTGACCAGACATAAGTGAAGAATTAGTGCATAGTGATAGAGAGAAACATGCTATGCCTATCTTTAACATTAATGCCAGGCATTCAGTCACGAAGTTCCTCCCTGTGGTCCACTCCTGGATGGTTGGGCTCTGATCTGCTTTCCCTGCAAGGTTTCTGAAGTCTTGGGTTTTCTTCCTTGAGATGGAATTCTGGGATTTTTCTCTCTTTACAATAGCCAACTCTCTTGTCCCAATCCTGTTCTGTGGGTTGGATTTCATTTCCTAATATTCTCCCTCAAGTATAAGCAGCCATTTTTGCTTTATTTTAAAAACCAAAAAGAATTTTTTTTTTTTAAAGACGAGGTTTCACCATGTTGGTCAGGCTGGTCTTGAACTCCTGACCTCAGGTGATCTGCCCATCTCGGCCTCCCAAATTGCTGGGATTATAGGCGTGAGCCACTACACCTGGCCAAAACCAAGAAGGATTTTTTTGAAAAGGTGGTAAAAAGTCATAAGTAGCGTATGACAGGTTATCCATCCTTCTAGAAATGACTATGTTTTTCTGGAGTGAGAACTTTTAGAGCTCAGTGAGCACTCTTCAGGTTTCAGAACTGAACTCTATGTATTTAGTCCTGTCTAGGAATCAGCAAACACACTTGTCAGAGACAACAGTCGAATACTCCTAAATTTAGAGAAGCTCTCATTTGCTGTCACTGTAGAGAATTTCGTTTATACTTGGGCTCAGATTACGTAGACATGGTTTTGTTTCTTAAAATCTGTAGGATACTGCTTAACTCTTGAAAATCTTGGAACTGATGTTTTACTAGGCATGTAAACAGAGATACATTTCTACCTGTTCTTCCCTTTTGTTCATTCTTCTCCCATATTTTTGTAAGTAATAGAATACTTAAACTATAAATGCAGAAATAAATACTTGAATAACTGGATTTTGCCTCTTCTCCTATTTTATCCATCTCTCCCCAAGACTTTCAAAATTGTGGACTATGAAGATGAGTTAGATTTGCTTTCTGTGGTAGCTGTTACTCAAATAGATACTGAAGGAAAAGCTCACCTGGATTTCCACTGTAATGAATATGGAACTTTACTTAAAAGCATTCCATTGGTGGAGTCATGGGATGTGGTAAGTAGAGTTCATGGAATACAAAGTTGTAAGCGTTTTCTTTATAGGTGCCGTTTATTAGAACAAATGTTACTGTGTTCATGTCAGTCCAGACTCACCTATGCCAATGACCACATGAAAGAGATTATTGTCCTATACCCAGGACAAAATGAGTACTTCTTAATCCTTCCTCCTCTGGGAACTAGGGGATGCCTCCTTACCAGTGGACTTAAAACTTCATATGTTTTCCTGAGACATGTTTTCTCTTTCCTTACCTTAGTCTTTGCTTTTCTTTCAAGTTTGAAAAAAATGTTTTAAAATAAGAGAATACTGTAGTAAATCCCCACAATTACTTAATAGAGACCATATCTAAGCATGTAGGTACTCTTGTATATGTGATATTTCAACTATTATTAGAATGTCAAAGTTATAAAGAACAATAAACTTCATTTTATCCAGGTCATATTTAATCAGTGGAGAATCTGGGAAGTTTGGCAACTCAGCCATGGTCACACAGTGAGATAGATAGTAGCAGCGTTGGCAATAAAATCTGGGTATTTAGACTCCTGAGTCCAGAGTTCTTTTAATTTTCTATATTTTGTAGAGTGCCTTTTTTGTTAATAATCTGCATGTCCACAAATAATGAAAAATGAATCTCTTTCTAGCAACTATTTTCTCCTGTGTTATGTTTGAAGATCCCTAGCATACGTACATGACATTTTAGTAACACAATAGTGAATATGGCTATGTGAAAAGGAGAGTGCATATGATTGTGTTTTTGTTACAGACATATAGCCATGAAGTCTACTTTGACAGAGACTTGGTGCTCCACATAGAGCAGAAACCCAACAGAGTCTTCAGCTGCTATGTTTACCAGATGGTATGTGACACTGGGGAAGAAGAAGAAACCGTAAACAGAAACTGTTAAAAAGAGTGAGATAATTGTAACCTAAGAGACTTTTAGCCAAACACCCCAGCAGCTGTGTCCAATCCTTTTTATTATCTGCATGGCACATTCGCCAGTATTTTCCAAAAAAGTCTTGTGCTGACTTCAGATGACTATGACTTCTTTTTTAAACTCTTGCTATAAAAGGTGGTGAGGACTTCATTTTATGTTAAGGTTTTTTTAGAATACTATTCCAAGAAGTTTAGTGTTTTGCAGCTTTGAGCTAGGTGGTAATGCAAATATTAAAAAGGACAGGTTAATTTCAATTGTTGAGGAGCTAATCATTGACGGGGTGGTGTTTAACATGTTTCTTAAAGGATGGTATGGAATTTTGGTTGCTAAGGCTAGGAAAGACAGGGAGAGACAGAAATAAGCATGCAGAAAGAAATCTTACATCCTCTATACGAAATTTTGCTTAAGGATGAGAAATGAGATGTGTTATGTGAAAACATTATTTTGAGCCAAAAATGTGTTATCACAGTTTTTTTTAATCTTATATATGTATTTATAGTTTTGTATTTGTATATAGTATCAGGAATTGGTTTTAGTATCATCTTTTCTTCCTAGATTTTGTTCTCCTGGTTTGATGTTCCCATTGAATAGTTGTGTTTCTGTATAGACTAATGTAAAAGATTCCAAGCAAACCTAAAGTGAATTTTTTTTCTGATATGTATCCTGTTTAGCTCACTGTATCTAAGGATGGTCTCATCTCACCATTTTATTCATCTAGTGAGTTTTCTGATCTTGTTTAGGCCATGTTTTCATACTTAACACAGTAAGATAAAGGTACCCTTGCCTGTACTAGTTCTGTTTCCTGTAGAGGAGTAGATAAAGTCCCAGGAGGAGCTCTTACTAGCTTGGGAGTTGTCTGATTAAGACAAAATTTTGGACTTACTTATGAAACAAGCATTTTTTCTTCCTTGTTAGGAAATATCTAAATATGATCTTTGATCTTTAATGATTATTCTTTAGAATATTAAATCAAGGCAACCCAAGTAAAGGGAGAAAATGTTTCTTTGTGCTTTCTGTTTGAGAAATTCAGTTGCTTCCAGTTTGCATGTTCTGCATTTTATCTGATTCGACCTCAAAAGAATAACAAGCAATAAAAGAAGGGAAGGAAACAGCAGTAAAAGTCATTGCTGATTCAAGTTTAAGGTTAAAATATGGAATTTTTAGCTTGGATGATTTACATTAAAATCTTTCCATTTTTTTCTTCAGTTTTGGCTTGATGTCATTTTAAGAATGATGTGAATTCTTCCCAGTTCTGCTCTGGTGCTAGATATTGCCCCAGACTTTCAATTAAATACTAGCTCTATCTAAATAGTCCCACTTAGTAAACTTATGTCTTGATAAACAAGACCAGTAAAAGGACAGTGAAAGTACTAAAGGAAAGAAAGAAACCAATGTTGTGTGAGTTTCAAAGCAGATGCAATGCTATGTAACAGCAGAATGTTCATTTTCTGTTTCCAAGAGTGTTTCAGAACAGGATGTCTTTAGACTTCAGTTATGTCAGAGTTTTTTTTAGGTATTATTGAGTTTCTCCTTCTCCTTTAAGTCATCACCTTCCTTTTAATGAAATGATAGTAAGGAACTCATCTACTTTGAAAGGTAAATATCTGAGATTCCCAGCTGTTTTTTTTGCTGGGAGTAGAGGGTAGAATACTTCTGTTCTAGGTAGAACTTAACACTAAGAAATCCCCAGTATGTCACCTCTGCCTCAATCTAACTAGAGCAAGGTCCAAATGTCATCCAGGCCAGGCAGGAAATAGACCTTGTGTGAAAGACAGTAAGGAGTTGTAGGCAGTGTAACAAACAGGAGACCTGTGCCCCAACTAAAAGGAGAAGCTGTGACTACTTATTTTCAGCCAGTTGTAACAGTATGTGGGAATGTAGGCTGCATGATGGTTAACAAGATATAGGTAGTAAAAAGATGCCAAAAGATACAGAAGATAGTACAGAATGTGGGAAAGTTGGATACCAAACATAGCGAGAGACAAGCATACTTTCAGCTCACCAGAGTGTCGCATAGCTGCTCATTCTGCCACCTGCCAGACATTAGTTAATATTTTCCTGCCCTACCTAAAAGCCCCTCTTTACCTAACCATTTTAATTCGAGACTCTAGCTACATGCCTACCTACTTAACAGATACTAGTGACAGGTACAAAACATTATGGGTAACAATCTGAGTATTTAATGCAAGCCCAGGTGAACCCGGGGTAGCTTCTATCAGCAGGTACAGACATTCAGCTGAAAAGAGATGCATTCCGCATTGCACTCCTTGATCTAAGTTTCTGTATTCTCACAGCATCAATGCAGCAAGCTTATTGTTCTTTAATTTTTTACAATGTTTATGACAACTCTGGGAGAAAACAAAACAAATCCTATCATAATCATATTTGTGCTACCTACTGAGGAGATACTGTTCTATTTAGACAAATTAAGGCACTTCACATTCTTCCACCAATTATGTTTTGTGTCTTACATTCTTTTTTTTTGACAATACATTTACTGAGTACTTTCTATCTGCTAGTTACTGTAATACAGTATAAATAAAATGGATCATCTTATTTAATATTCAAAATAACCACATGAAGTATGAACTGCCATTATCTCTCCCCTTGTACAAATAAGGAAAGTGAGGTTTATAGAAGTTAATTGGTCCAGGGTCCCACAACTAATAAGTGCGGAGGTGGGAAACATATCCACATTTGTTCGGCATAAACTTATGCCAAATTTCCTCCAAAGTTCTCAAAAGGCAGTGCATGTTAATTTATCCTATATATAGCATATAGACAACTATAATACCGGGTACATGGGAAAGTGCTTAATAAGTGTTCTTTACTGATGATTCAATGTCTAAATTTTGAACAAAGTTTGGGTAAAATACAAGTCACACACAAATTGACAGACAATGTAATCTTCAGTGGTTAGCAGTCCTTGAATGGTTCTTTCCCTTTGTGGTGATAATAACACCTGTTAATCTTCCTACTATTTGGCTTCCGTATTAATTTTAAAAATATTTTCATCTTCTTACCGCGTTTACCTATATCAGCCATCATTTGGAATCCCAGGGAGCTAATTTCTGGTCCCTGTGTTGCTGTCGAATCTGCATCTTGCAGAAAGAATAATTTATATCAAGCAAAGGGCATATAATAGAAAGATGAGACCTACTGAAGTCTTTTTCCCCTCATTTTATTATGAAAATTTTTCAAACATACAGTAAAGTTGAAAGAATTTTATAGTAAATACTGAAAGGCCACCAGGATTCTATATCTTACTCTACTTGTTTTATTGTTTACCTATCCCACATACTTTTTGATACATTTCAAAATAAATTCTGGTTGCATATATATGTCCCCCTAATACTTCAGCTGCATATCATTAAATAGAGTTTAGTGTTTAGTTTTTAAATTTTTTTGATTTAAGATTTAGCTGCAATAAAATGCACAGATCTTAAGTATACATTTACTGAGTGTTTGCAAACATATACACCTTGTGTAACCCAAACCCTTTCCAAAATTTAGAACATTGCAGTCATCTTCAGAAAGTTTCCTAAATCTCTCTCCCAGTCTATCCCTTCCCCACCCCTCAGGTATAACTGCTGTTCTCGTTCTTCTATATCAAAGGTTAAATTTACCTATTTTGAAACTTCATATAAGTAAAATCATACAAGGTGTAATGCTTCTTTCACTTACATAATGTTTTTGAGATTTATTCATGTCGTTGCATGTGTCAGTGGTTCATTTCTTTTTATTGCTGAGTACTCAACTCTTTTGTATGAATATGTCACAGTTGTTTTTTTTTTAGTCTTTCTGTTGATGGGCACTGGGCTCTTCCTGCTTTAAACTGTTATGAATAAAGCTGCTATGAACATTCTTAGAGAAGTTTTTTGTGAACATGTGTCTTTATTTCTCTTGGGTAAGTATCTAAGGATGGAATTTTTTGGTCCTTGGGTAGGTGTATATTTAGTTTGCCCAGACCTTTTTCCCAAAGGATTGTGCAATTTTACATGCCTGCAACAATGTAGGAGACTTCCACTTGCTCCACACATTCTCCAACATTTATCGTTGTTAGTCTTCTTTATCCTAGCATTTATGGTGGGTATGTAATCATTTCTAGTTGATACTCAGATTGCTTTTACTTGTGTTTAGCATCCCTCTTGTCAGCTTGACCTCCTTCCTGCCCCAGGAACTGCTGAAAACATTCTTCATGATAATAGTTAAGATACCCCAAAACTCAGCTTGAGGGTTGTTTTTTTTTTTTGACAGAGTCTCACTCTGTCACCCAGGCTGGAGTACAGTGGTTCAATCTTGGCTCACTGCAGCCTCTGACTTCCAGGTTCAAGTAATTCTCCTGCCTCAGCTTCCCAAGTAGCTAGGACTACAGGAATGTGCCACCACGCCCAATTATTTTTGTATTTTTTTTTAGTAGAGACAGGGTTTCACCATGTTGGCCAGGATAGTCTTGATCCCCTGACCTCGTGATCCACCCACCTCGGCCTCCCAAAGCGCTGGGATTACAGGTGTGAGCCACCACACCCGGCTGCTTGAGTTATTCTTTCTCAAACATGGGATAAATTGCTCATCAAAGAACCCTGATTCCTTTCATGGAGATTATAGTTGGGAACAAACCTGGGTTCTAAGAGCACGTGTTCCACTGTTTCACATGACTACTGGAGCTGGACAGAATGGCGCCGGAGAAGAGGTCACAGCAATCATTGTAATAAAAGCAGAAAGGCAACTTTTTTCTTTAAAGGTTGCAAGTTCATGTTATAAACATACTAACAGGTGAAATCAGGTGAATTTTTTCTCTAATATGGAAGCATATTAAACAAGCTGTATCCTTTTCTCACTAACTGTAGTATTCTAGGCTGCATATGTTGTGATAGCAAATTAGTATATTTAAATTTTAGAGGTGCTCAAAATTTAAGAAG